TGTGCTATCCGAGATTCGTCTTCGGAGTGACTGCCGGATTCTCACCCTCCTGGCAGTCATTCAAACATCTGAAGCAACAAAATAAGGATTATGGCTTCATTCTAGTTCCTCAAACGCACCAGAGGCGTCCTCAGCTTGCTTAGCTTTCTTTGCGGCAAGCTCAGCTGGAGTCAGCCTGGCATCGCCACCAAAGTATCCCGACCCAATTGGTGGTTGCACCAGCCGAGCATATTTAAGATATATCACAACTAAGTTGTGTTTTACCTGTGAGCCTGTAAGGGCATAAAATGCAATACGGAACCTGGACAACTCATGACATGGACAATTCGGGGTGGCAACCAGGAAGAACAAACAACAACCTTGCCGCACCATGGAGAGCTTGCCAACTTTCCCAGAACTTGCATCTTTGCATGTGTTTGCTCATGATGTTCAAACGTTGGGAGCATCGGAGCCTGTGGGTTTTCTTTCCAAACCATGCGATGGATTACTGAGGTTCAAAATTTGCCACGATACAGCAGGTCTCAGGGTTTCCCTTTTGAAATAGGCAATATTTCTGCCTTTGTGGGGGATCTCAATTCTGGGACGAACAGGTCCTATGTTCCCATCAGCTAATGTCTGCAACTGCCACCTTGGCCTTTCCTTCTTCTTCTTAGGGTCCTGGGGGGTGCAGCCGTATCGTGCCTACGCACAATCAAAGAAGCACGAGGATTCTTTGAAAAAATCAGGGGAACACATGATAGCCATCATTAATCACACACACATATATACAACATGAATATCGTTACGTAATCATTGGATATCATAGGAAAATCCATGGCATCATTATGCCATCCATTGCGAAGATCGCTGGTGATCACAGTTGTGTCCTTCGAAGCAGGCGGAGGCAATGAGGCCATCTGAGGCCGGAAAGCCATCACCGCTTGCTCTGCGGCCGACTTCTCCTGAGTTTCATGCAGAAATCGTGAAGGGTCGAAGGGTCTGGCTATGATGATTCCAAACCATGAATGAACGCCCAGGTAATGAGTGACAATATCAAGTTGATCAAATTGGTCAACAAAGCCTACAACACATCCGTGCATGTGCCCACACGCGCCCACACACACACGAGCGTGTCTGTACAGCACATATATATGATTATAATATGATTGTATGTGGGTGTGTGGTTGTGTACCTCTTTCGCTCTATGGAATCATTTCTGAGCTGCGCAATGCGGCTAGGATGCAGCTTCCTTTTGATTGAGGCAAAGGTGCCCGGCATACTCTTGACCCTGCAGCCATGGCATGATTATTTGGCAAATCTTGCAGCAGCAGCTGGAAACTATTAGCAACTTTCTGTTCACAGGTAATGCAAAAGCATTATAAGGCCAGCACCTGAATGCAATCTAACTTTACGATGCTCTGGTACCTTCACAAACCGTGTTTCTGCTCGGCATTCAACATGAAATCCCGGCATCTTTAAGCACTAACCAATGTGGGGGTTTGTAAAGACCCCGAGCCCTTTCAAATGGTTTTTCCAGACGTCATCATTTTTTTTCCAAGCGCTGGCTTCACACCTTTATCAAAGAATTCACATGAGCGAGGAAAGGGAAAAGGAAAAGGAATAGCAAAGGAAGGGAAAGGAAAGAATAGGATAGGAAAGAATAGGAAAGGGAAAGGGAAAGGAAAGGGAAAGAAAAATCAAAGGGAAAGGAAAAAGGAAAGGGAAAGGAAAAAGGAAGGGAAAGGAAAAAGAAAGCGAAAGGAAAACGAAAGGAAAAGGAACGGAAAAGGAACGGAAAAAGGAAAGGAAAAAGGAAAGGAAAAAGGAAAGGAAAAAGGAAAGGAAAAAGGACAGGAAAAAGGAAAGGAGAAGGAAAAGGAAGAGTAAAGGAAGAGTAAAGGAAGAGTAAAGGAAGAGTAAAGGAAGAGACAGGAAAAAGGAAAGGAAAGGGAGAGGAAAGGGAGAGGAAAAGGGAGAGGAAAAGGGAGAGGAAAAGGGAAAAAAGGCAGTGTCTCACACGGACCATTTTTGATACCAAAAGTTATCGTTTTCGTTATCGTTTTCTTATCGTTCGTGAATCCTGTGCGTGTTCCTCTTTTTTGGCAATCATCAAAAAAGGAGTGTAGCGACCACCTACCAGGCACCTTCCTTGTGCAGAATCTGCGCCATTACGACAACAAACAATGAAAGGAAGAGACCAAAAGCAGTAAATAGCCGCAGAATGATGGAAAAATCAAGAACTTTGGATTTCAAAAGTCTGGACACAGATCATTAACATAACCAACGAAATCGTTTTTTTTCCTCTTATCGTTGTTTCGAGTGAAAGCTAAAAATGGCTCATGGGGGATCATGGAAGACTAACCGAATAGGCGCGGGGTTTCTACAAACTCCCATGTGGAAAATAGATGAAAATAGTTACGAGTACGATATATTGCAGCTGTCGACTTGTCGCTGCAGGTCACTGATTGCCGAATTTGTTCGTGGTGTAGGAAATGTCCTCATCACAGGGTGGCGCCAATGGCATCCGCCAAGTATGGTCAGGTCGGGTCATGTCAGGTCATCTCTCTTGCCAGCTGAGCCGCTGAGCGCTCAAAAATGTCTTGATGATTGGAAGAATCCCTGGGACAATCAACTCGACTTGCCCAGGAACAGCTTTTGTGACCGGTCTCTGGCAGTAGCGCTGGCAAAAGTGGTTGAGCTCCTGGGAGTCTGCTGGGCCGTTCATTCTTCAGGGTCTGAACTGACTTCTCAACTGATCCTTCTAGGTGGAGATGTGGCTTGCAAAACTGTGGCATGCCCCCATGGGCCTTCCCTACTGCAATCGACCATTCGGTGGATTGTTGGGATCTTTAATGTAGAAATCCAAATTTCGTTTGGTTTGTTGATGGGAGTTCCCAGTGCGTCATCATACCCCCCAACAAAGCAAGTGGTATAACCTCATTAGCTTGTTGTTAGCCAAGGCGCCGTCTTGGGATCCGTTGCAGCTTGCATAGAAGGCTGAGCCTTGGAAGGCCGAGTCTTAGGCAAACGCCCACTGCGCTTGTAAGTGAGTTGGCCTTGCAGTTGGCTGAGTGTGTGACTGCCATTGTCGCCAGTGCCGATCCAAAGGAGCCCCAGGGATGTGTAGGCAAGCGAATGCAATGTATGCTTGAGCCAAATGCCACCGGCCGGCGCCCCGTTTATCTTTTGCACGTGCGCCCGGCCCGTGTTGCCGAAGACATCGCAGCAAACTCATGCATAACCTAAGGCCTCTTGCCCCTTAAGGCCTTCGGAAAGCACCTCTGACAATTGCGAACCCACTGACCGTAGCGGGGCCCAAAGTCATTCTCTCACCTGCTTCTAACATCCTACAACAATCCCCATTGAGCTCGGTAAGTTTCTCTGGCTTCACCATCGGCGGTTCTTGGCATGGCACGTTGCCACCGGCACCCACCACGGCGATGGTGTCGCCGTCTTGAGCCTGCAGGGCTGCAGGTGCAGCGCAAGCAGGAAGAAAACCAGCAAGTCCCGGTCCGTCAGAGGTGTGCCCTCTGCCAAACGAACGACGCGCCGTCGATGGGTTGAACCTGGCAAGATTAAAAAGCACACAAAAAAAGATCTGTTTTCAAACCTATTTGCGATACAGTTTTGCAGTATTTTGCGTTGTGATGATGCAAGAATAGGATGTAATGTAAGGACAGGACTATGTTGTTAAACATGATGAGACCTCCGTGCACCATGGCTACATCGAACCATATCTAATTACCCGTTTTGATTCTGATGGAATACCATGCACAGGCATGTATCTACATTACACTCGTGGTTGCCGCTGCTAAAACATTAAGCTGCCTTGCCAAGGTTTCTCACATGTTCCAGTCTCCTGACCTTTCCGCTTGATCTGCGCACAAAGTCCCACAAGGCAAGTTCCTTCCATCCAATGATTTGAATGATATTGCAAGAAAAAAGTACCAACAACTGGGCCCCCATGGCTCAAACATGCTCAAATCAGCCATGGCAATATATGGCAATAATGTTGATCAATTTTCATATTAGTCAACTGGGTCCTGAAATCCAGTTTGCAAATCCAGTAGTGCGAACTCTGCGAACTGTGCGAACCTGAAGGCAGCTGCCATGGCTAGGGCTGTCTCTCATGGCCTCAACCCGGTGCCTGCGTCTTTTCATTGGCCTTCCATGTTGGCCGAAGGTGGCCGCACCTAAAAACACGACAAGGTGACGAAGGTGATACGGTGATACCTGGTGACCTGGTGGAGGATGTACTAATTGTCTCATCCGTTCGAGAGCATTCAGAAAACAGCATGAAACTGCTATCAAGAGCCGAGTCGCTCAACTCCAGCAGTGGTCGGCAAAAATGCGACTTCCATGCTGAAATCTGAAAGGGAAAGCTATCTGTAGGCTCGTAAAACGTGGATACCCTCTGACACGCTAAGTGATGTGAAAATTTGCTCCAGCGATGCTCAATGCGAGTGTGCCATGCTATGCGGCAACACTTTCAAGAATGTTCAGGCGTTTCATCACTTAATGTGCATTCATGTGTCAAATGATTCTGAATATTTCTGAATGAAAAGCATGACTAGCTGAGCCGTGCAAGCACATAAACATGCAATAAGACAGTACGAATGGATTAGACTGCCATCCATGCTGTCCGGAAAAAAAAACATATCATAGCATATCTAAGCCTCTAAGCATATTGTCAAAAGGCTGTGGGTTGCACCATGTTGCGGCAATGTTTTTCTCCCAGGGCTGGTGGGATCTCAGCTGGTTGGCACCGCTTTGGCTCCAGGTACCAAACCCGGGAAACCTTGCCCTTGCGCCTTGGCAATGGCTTAGGCCCATGCGCGAAGGCCAGCAATGCGCAAAGGGCATTCGGCGATGCAGCCCAGGGATTCCAAAACTGAGTCTTTTCAACCAGCTGCTTGGGCAAGACTGTGTAAACACTTCGCGCAAACACTGGCACTGACAAGTCCAGGTTCAAAGGCCCGGGTGGATTTCAATAGATTTGGATAGATTGGGACTCAGACCAGGAAATCAGTCGTAACGGTTGATAAACTTTGCAACCAGAGGTGATTTGCCAGTGCCCCATGGTTGCAACTGCACCAAGAGGTCAGGTCAACTTAATATTGCACTCAGTTTCAAGTGATCAACGACTCAACGACTAGAACAAGGGATCGATCAGCTCCTTCCACGTTGCTTCTGCAACTGATCGCTTCAGCTTCAGTGAGGGGGTAAACTCACCTGGACAGTGGCAGCTTCCCAAGCAGTTTCCCGCTACAAGTAACAGAACAAAGCCATGGATAGGATATAATATGTGTATATATAAATATATATGTGTGTGTGTGTTTATACATATATACATATGTGTGTAACTGTATATAGATCCAAATGCAAATACATTGATAATTAAATGAGATATTCAATGATATTCATATAGGACCATAGAAGTCTATATGCATGTTATTAAATCGATCGATAACAAAAATAACTAAACAAACAAATAATAAATTCACTAACTAATGTGTATATATATATACACATTATGTAGGTATATACCTTTTGTCCGACTGTGCAGCAGTGCAAGTAGCTATTCCAGTGCATTCCTATTCGAGCCTGTTTGGATTGAGAAATCACGTGGCACAATGGCAAACTTCTGGATCTTCCACGCGTTGCTGATGCACACATTCCTTGGTGAACCAGTCTGAGCAAAGACATGACAAGATGGAGCTGTGCAACGTTCAATACGCTGGTTAGTTCATATGAATTCCCATAATGAATCACCATGATCCCATATATATAATATAATGTCCAATGTATTGGGTAGTATAACCCTTAAATAAACATCTCTCTCTCTCTCTCTCGCTCTCTGTCTCGTCAAGTAGCGGATCATTGTTCGCATGGTTGATAGCATCTTGAATGTACTTGTGCCAAACAGGGTCCTACACAGAGGGACTGCGAACAGGCACACTCCAAACACCAGCTTCTGCTGAAGGCTCCGGCAAGGCATTTGATGATATGCAAGGCATTTTGCATTGATGGGGCGTCTTTTTCTTCATAGATCTTCATAGGAAGTGCCCTGCTAATGCTACCATTCGAGTCCTTGATGGCATCTGAGATGGTCTTCACTGCTGGATTCACCTGTTTTTCTTCTCGACAAGACACTCCCAACCACCTTCCCGAATGCTTCACTGGACACAAATTCTGCTCGGCTGAATGCTTTGTCTCCAAACCATCTGGATCTCAGAGTCATCTCAAAACCGCCAAAGATCCAAAGATCATCAAAGATCGACATCTCAAATCCTAAAACCTGGCGTGCCATTCCCTACCACTGCCACAAAACAACCTGTTCATCTCCCAACAAAAATCATCCGCCAGTCCCTTCCCATTTCCTCCCTCTGGCCATGGCCCCATGGCATCCCATGGCACCTCCAGCGCCACACCGGCCAAATTGTTGTTGCCTGGCAGCTCGCCTGTGGCACCTTCACAGAGCAGCGTCACCAGTGCGATGTTGTACTTCCGGTTGTCACCCACCATCATCACCTGAAGCCGCGGATCACATGCAACCAATGGTTGCAGATATAATATGATAATATATTCTACATGTATAAATATAAATAAACATCTAAATAAATAAATAAATAAATAAATATATATATATGCATGCATACATATATATATATTGTGTGTGTGCGCGCGCATGTGTACTAGTATATCATATATAATCACACATACACACACGTATATATATATATATATATGCCTATGCATACATAATTAATTACAATGAATTATAAATAATTACACATATATATATATATATATACGTATGCACTTGTTGACTATAAACGACTCTAACCGATATAGCGGCAACAATTATCCGTATTGAAAGTATGACCCAAACCTGGGGGCTACAGTATCTTCCACTCCGAACTTTCATTGTAGTCAGCTTGGCTTCCGGCATTCGAAAGCGCTGGTGCGGATTTCTTGATGGCTTCTTCCACAGGGACCGGGGCGATGTTCTCACCGCCTGCACCGATGATCAGCTCCTTGTAGCGACCGGTGATTCTCACCACGCCATTGGTGTCCATGTAGCCCTGGAGCAAGTTCAGGTTCGCAGAGTCATGACTCGTGACCAAATCATGACCACAAGTTGCAGCGATTGAGATGTTTGATGATAAGAGGTGCTCAGTGTCCTCACTGGTTGGTGGATTGTAGGCTCTTGCAAACATGTTCATCACAGCAAGTTGGAATAGCAATCTCAAATACATCCAAAATCATCCAAATAGAGGTGGTATGTTGAAAACATTTGAAAACGACGTGCCACCCAAAATATTCTAAATTCCAGAATCACTGCCAATTCCATGCTTGCATTCTTGATGAGCCTTATCTCCGCTGTGAAGCCAGCCCTCTTTGTCAATGGTAGATGCATTCTTCTCAGTGATGTCCTTCAAAGCAAGGCTTCTTGGAACCCAAAGAGCACTTCGTTTGCGGTTTCCGCCCTAAGTTGGGCTGTTCGAGAGTCAATAACCCGCAGTGAAACTTGCATTCCCCAACCTGGACGTGTTCATCACCGAACCTTGCACAAGGCATAATGATGGAATCCTTCACTCACATTTGTGAATCAGCAGGCCTGGGGTTTGCCATGTAGCCACTCATGATGTGTCGTCCGCCTTTGGCAGATTGAGTGCTGCCATTCCAATGCTGCTGGCAACATGACCCACCAGCACCAGGAAATGAAGTGAGTCATCAAGCACAGAGGAAGCACCAATCAGAGGAATCTAAGCTGCTTGCGGAAGCAAATCTCACCTGAAAAGGGCAGCAGCACTAATTTGACAAATTGAAGCAACATGCTTTGCTCCAAAACCATCACTCAGTCCACTAGCCTTGATTCTCCTCAGGAACCTCGCTCAGAGTGACTCAATCAGATCCAAACACTCGAAACTTCTGGTGGTTGATGTCTTCCAATCTCTTCCACATGTCTTTCTTCAGTCACCCATCAAATATAAACATACCCAAACCTGGAAGACAATGGAAAACATAGTGTTTCCCATTGAAATCACACGGAAAACATGGAGAACCTTCTTTATCCTGAGATACCCTGTTGGGACAAAACCCACCTGCTGCCAAGGTGCAACTTTCAGTCCAGGCTTTGCTCTGGGAACCTCACAGGTCAGCAACAACGCCGCCATGAATGTAACAGCAGAAAAGGTTGGTGGTTTGAACCCATCCATCCAAATAATTAATACATCATATTGACCCATATGTATGTATGTATGTCTGTATGTCTGTGTGTGTGTATTATATTATACTACATCACTAGCACACACGCACACACACACACACTAGCACACACACACACATATATATAATCATTATATATTATATACTGTAATTACACCGTAATTTATACACATAAACGCCGGAATCGTGCTGCAACATGTTCCGAATGGGATGGAGAAAATGATCCGAACCACCGACGAACAACCATACACATAAAAAAGGATGTATCTTCAAAGCAAAAATGTGTCGTTTCTAATGGTTGTTTGTTTTGTCCTTCAAATCGTCACACGCATTCATGAAACCCAATTGCATCAATGAGCACCTACACACAGGGAGATCGATGCCTCAATGTTCTCTCCATTCGGCCCTGTCTTGAACAGCTTCACCTCAAACCCTGATGGCGCCTTCCACAAGCTTTCAATGGCTGTGCTGATCATCTGGTGTGATCCATTGTCCAATCAGCGTGCCTGTCCAACACTGCCGAACTCGTTGTGGTCCTTCAGGCACAAGGTTGTGAGGCCAGCACTTTCGCTCATACCATAGACCTGATCAGGATCTCACAGGTCTGGTGCAGGGCAGGCACACCGCCGTGATTCAACTGGGCTCTTCACGTTCTGGATCATCATCCCCAGTTGACCGAAGTACTCCAAGGTTTCTCGAGAGATTGGGGCGGCTCCTGCTCGGCTTGCAGCTTGGAGAAAGTAACTTGGAGAATCTATGCAGGGACTGTGAGAAAGATCGTCTTTGACGTGCACACATCCCGGACACATCCCACCAAAACCAAAGAAAGCAGATGAGGTCCCAGGGGAACACGATCGCCCTACCGCTGCTGTCCCATGCTGTGCCGGCACCATCCTTCACCTGTGAATGCCCCCCAGCTGGCCGCCGGCTGCTGCCTGCAATGAAGATCTTGCATTTGTCCAGGCCCAACGCATCCCTGGCTTTTGACAGAACCAGCTTGTCCTGACAGTCTGGTCAGCTCATTTCCACATGGTGAGATTGCAGTCTAAATACAAGCTCAACAACAAACCTGAACAATGCCTGAACAGCATGTGACAACATCATCGGCTATCAGCTGGCTCTAGGAAATTGCAAGACATGTTGCCAGTTGTCAAACACTGAGCTGCGCACGGCAATGGTGTGGAAGAATGGTTTTGATCCGGAGCCACCAGCCTCTACCGCGAAAAGTCCGAGTTGATTCACAACATGCACTGGTGCTGCATTGGCATGGTTTGGGATCGTTTGGGACCTGGCCTGCAAAGACCTGCAGTACTCCAACCCCTTGCCCTTGGCCCAAGTGGCAAGGGATTTCTTTACACCTGGCCAGCAGGTTCGCTGATGGTTGTCCTACACGGGCCAATCAATGTCCTAACTCCTAACAGTCATCCGAACACATGCCGCTTTGGCCTGTGATGGTTGCAGCAACTGCCATCATGCGTGCTTGCATCTTCTCGTAGACACGTGGCACACCCAAGAAGATGGTGGGACGAACAAACCTGAGCTGTCATCAGTATCAGTATGCAGTGGAGTGAAGGTGGTGTTCCAACATCCAGGCATTCCACAAAGTTCACCCCCTCTTCCGTCTACGAATTGAGGACTCTGGCGAATGGGCCAAACATCACAACCAGAGGCGCGACTCCATGCGAGCCAAGGAGCTGCAGCCGGGCCGCCAAGGTCATCTCTTTCAGATCGTAGTGGCGGGCAAAGTAAACGGTGCTGGGCAGGCCCTTGCTGTATGCCATGTAAACGGGGAACCTCGGAGGCCATTGGCATGCCATCCTGGATCCTTGCTAGTCACGATCCGACTGGACAGTCTCAGTGCCAATCAGCGGTGGCCAAGTGGCAGCAGATCCATCAGAGAACCCGCAATGTGAGATAGAGGAAGGTAAGAAATAATCCTTGCAGGGTATCCTGGCGTGCCCAGGTTCACCATTGTCATCATGTTTTCCCAAGGCATCCGAGATCAAATGTTCAATCTTGTTCAAATGTCTGACTTTGTCGGAAATCTCCTTCAAGAATGCCGGTATTGTCCAGGCATCCAATGGCACCCTGTGCCACCACCGCATCATGATGGATCATCACCTCAGAAGCATCTGAACAACTGCATCCAGTCCACCGTCCCAGTATGTCCCTGTCCCTGAAATGTCCCGGGGCTCCCTGCTGCTTTCGGCTGCCCCGTGGTGCCCGAGGTGTAGATGATGCCCATGGCATGCCCGGGCCTCATGGCCTGGACCGACCAGGTAACCGGGTATAGTTTATATGAAATCTCCACGCAGTGACGCGATTCCCGCCTGCATTCGCTGCGCCAAAGCCTCATCAGACCCCTGAGAGTCGCCAAATTCCAGGCACTCCTGAAACACTAGACCATGACATACCATGATACACCATGACATGGAGATGGGCGTGGCTCAGATGATATGGTACCGGTGCCAGTGGAATTGAACATTTGGAGAGTCTTGATATGGACATTGAACCATCATGAAGCATCATGAAATCATTTGGAGCTAATCCCAGATGCCATCAATTTCCCGAGGTCTCCTGGAAGGACATGACTTTACACACGCTGCCATCTTTCCTCAGTCTGTTCCATGCTTTCTGCCGCGATCCTGGCAAACAGCACTGGGTTGCCGGCCGTTTGATGACGGTGGGCTCGAAAGTGCCCCAGCAAACGATGGCGTTGAGGCAAGTCAACTCCTACCAGTGTGCCAAAATGTGCCATGATTATCCATGACGTACATCAAGCAGCACAGAGTCAACAGCCGCCGGCCCTCCGCTGTCGGTGCTGGTGAACCATCTCTCCTCGATGTGAGCCACCGTGGCGGCAAACTCGGCATGGCTGTCCACAACTGCGACCTGAGCCGTTTGTGGTCAGAGGACTCCCTCCTAAAAACATGCTTTCCCCTTATAGCTTGACCAACACAACGGGTTGGGGAGATACATAATTTTATTTCTGCGACTGTCTGAGAACTGACATTTGGGTTTCCACATTGAATCCTTTGGGGGCAGCCTTCAACAACAGTGGATCCCGAGCACATTGTACCACCTCCAAAGAATTTCACCCTGCTTATCCCTCTACACCTGTCATCCCCTATCCTTATCTATCAACGTCATCCGCCCATGTTGAACCGGCAGAATCCATCGTGACTCTCCAGCATCCCTTGCGGCCAAATTGGCTGCAGCATTGGAGTGATCCACTTTGTACTGCACCTCAGGCTCAAGGGGCACCATCCCATGACGTCAAGCGCAAAACTCATTCCAAACTAGACGACGGATGGCCCGAGAGCGTAGAGGAGCAGGGTCTTCTGTTGTTAGTATGGAGACACTATATTAGAAACAATATATTAAAGATGTGTGATATGCAGTCGAGAAGGGGAGTATTAAGACAAAATAGCAGAAGTGCAAGACAATAGTTTGCATCGCAAACGCTTTTACACACAAAAGCTTTTACACACAGAAACTTTTACACACAGACGCTTTTACACAGACACTTTTACACACAAAGTTTTTACCCACAGAAGTTTTTACATACAGAAGCTTTTACACATATACGCTTTTACACAGATGCTTTTACACACAGACACTTCTACACAGACACTTTTACACACAAAGCTTTTACCCACAGAAGTTTTTGCATACAGAAGCTTTTACACACATACGCTTTTACACAGATGCTTTTACACACAGACACTTTTGCACACAGACACTTTTAACAAAGAGCCTCTTACACACAGGAGCTTTTACACACAGAAACATTTACACGCAGACGCTTTTACACACAAACACTTTTACACACAAACATCTTTACACAGCACTCTTACACACAAACCCGTTTGCACAGAAACACTTTTACACACAGAAGCTTTTACACACAGACACTTTTACACAGATGCACTTCTACACACAAACACTTTTACACACAAACATCTTTACACAGAAACACTTTTACACACAAACACTTTTACAAAACATCTTTACACAGAAACACTCTTACACACAAACCCGTTTACACACAAAGACTTTTACACACAAAAGCTTATACACACACATTCCCGCTGTCACACAGAAACACCTTTTACACAGAAACCCTTCTGCACTCACACCACTTTACACAGAGACGCTTTAACACACAAACCCTTTTACACACAAACACGTTTACACACAAAAGCTTTTACACACAAACCCTTTTACACAGATTCACTTTTACATACAAACACTTTTACACACAAACATCTTTAGACAGAAACACTCTTACACACAAACCCGTTTACACACAAAGACTTTTACACACAGAAGCTTATACACACACATTGCCGCTGTCACACAGAAACACCTTTTACACAGAAACCCTTCTGCACTCACACCACTTTACACAGAGACGCTTTAACACACAAACCCTTTTACACACAGACACGTTTACACACAAAAGCTTTTACACACAAACCCTTTTACACAGATTCACTTTTACACACAAACACTTTTACACACAAACATCTTTACACAGAAACACTCTTACACACAAACCCGTTTACACACAAAGACTTTTACACACAGAAGCTTTTACACACAGACACTTTTACACAGATGCTCCGGGACAAGTAAAATCGCAATTTTACCTCAGTTTTTGACAATCAACACTCATTTCGTGCGAAAGGGTTGCTCCGGGACAAGTAAAATCGCAATTTTACCTCAGTTTTTGACGATCAACACTCATTTAGTGCGAAAGAGTTGCTCCGGGACAAGTAAACTCGCAATTTTACCTCAGTTTTTGACGATCGACGCTCATTTCGTGCGAAAGGGTTGCTCCGGGACAAGTAAACTCGCAATTTTACCTCAGTTTTTGACGATCGACGCTCATTTCGTGCGAAAGGGTTGCTCCGGGACAAGTAAAATCGCAATTTTACGTCAGTTTTTGACGATCGACCCTCATTTCGTGCGAAAGGGTTGCTCTGGGACAAGTAAACTCGCAATTTTACTTCAGTTTTGGCCGATCGAACCTCATTTCGTGCGAAAGGGTTGCTCCGGCACAAGTAAAATCGCAATTTTACCACAGTTTTGGCCGATCGAACCTCATTTCGTGCGAAAGAGTTGCTCCGGCAGTTTTTGCCGATCGACCCTCATTTCGTGCGAAAGGGTTGCTCCAGGACAAGTAAAATCGCAATTTTACCTCAGTTTTTGCCGATCGACCCTCATTTCGTGCGAAAGGGTTCACGTTTCGTGACTCCCCGCCGGCACCACCCTTGGCCTAAAGAGAGAAAGATAAAGAAGGCGAGAGAGAGAAAAGGGAGAGAGAAAGGAGAGAGAGAAAGGAGAGAGGAAAGAGGAGAGAGAGAGAGAGAGAGAGAGAGAGAGGGAGAGAGGGAGAGAGGGAGAGAGGGAGAGAGGGAGAGAGGGAGAGGAAGGAGAGAGGAAAGAGGAGAGAGAGAGAGAGAGAGAAAGGAGAGAGGAAAGAGGAGAGAGAGAGAGAGTGAGTATGTGAAGGTGTGAAGGTGTGAAGGTGTGAAGGTGTGAAGGTGTGAAGGTGTGAAGGTGTGAAGGTGTGAAGGTGTGAAGGTGTGAAGGTGTGAGTGCGAGTGAGAGAGAGAGAGAAAGAGAAGGTGTGAGTATGTGAAGATGTGAAGATGAGCAGATGTGAAGATGAGAAGCTATGAAGATAAGAAGATGTGAAGATGAGCAGATGTGAAGATGAGCAGATGTGAAGATGAGAAGATGTGAAGATGAGAAGATGTGAGAGAAGGTGTGAAGATGAGAAGATGTGAAGATGAGAAGATGTGAAGATGAGAAGATGTGAAGATGAGAAGATGTGAGAGAAGGTGTGAAGATGAGAAGATGTGAAGATGAGCAGATGTGAAGATGAGAAGATGTGAAGATGAGAAGATGTGAAGATGAGCAGATGTGAAGATGAGAAGATGTGAAGATGAGAAGATGTGAGAGAAGGTGTGAAGATGAGAAGGTGTGAAGATGAGAAGGTGTGAAGATGAGATACAGACCCCCACTATTGGAAGAACCCTGCGCTCAGACGCTCTCGGGAAAAATATGAACCGCTCTTGGTACAAGCTAGGGCTGTGAAGAAAGAACCATGGAGATATATGGAGATCATCACCCAGCTCATGTTCAAACGTTCGGCTGTCTGGTCGGCTGTCTGTGCACCTGCTCTGGGGTGTCAGTGGAATAGATTCCGACAAACTTACCTCGGAACAGCGATCACATCTGAGCCATCAAACATAGACTTTCTCACAACGACAGCCGCATTCAGGCACGAACCGCCGCACATCATCGCACCCATAGCGCTCAAGGCCCATTCGGGTGCCTTGGCAAGCTGGCGGTTTCCACTCTGCTCGAGTATGTCGCGCTGCTATATGATCCAGAGATGAATCACAAATCACGAATGTCAAACTCATCCAAGGCTCATTGAAACCGAAGATGGTGACGCTGCCGAACTGTTCCACCCCCAACCTTGGATCGTCACATGCTGCCAAACCATGCCCTACCTACCAAATAGTTTGTTGTGCTCCGAACTTGCGCAGTGGATCACGGTTCGAATCACCCGAATCCATTCGAGCTGGGGGGCTTAATAAATGCCTTTGCCAACCGCCGTGCGTCGTCATAGTATTCCTTCCATGTCCATTTGGTCCATTCCTGCGAAGCGTTGGCAAAATCGTGCATACGCAGTGGGAGACGATATGTAGCAAGGCCTGTTGCGGATATTATGGAGAAATGAAACGAGGCAAACAACAAACAACACACATCGTCATTGTTACTCATTATATAAAACAGTACTAAACACATATATTATATTAGACACATTACCTGAAGCTAATTAATTAACTAATTAATTATTAATTAATTAATTACATAATTAAATACATAAATAAATAAATAAATAAAATAAATAAAATTAAATAAATAAATAAATAAAATTAAATAAATAAATAAATAAATAAAATTAAATAAATAAATAAACAAATAAAATTATATATATATACTTACATATCTAAGATCTATCTATGTATACAAATTATACATTGATCTATAAATTTAGAAATGTTGAACACATATACATATACATATACATTACATTGCATTGCATTGCACCGCACTGCACTGCATTGCACTGCATTGCATTACATTACATACAAATATACGCATTGTATATATCTGTGTATGATTGTATAATCATGATTAATCATGACTTCATCATGTACGATTGATGTGCATCCAATTGCTTTCACATGTTGGGGCCATCTGGGGCCTCCCATGGCAAAGATGGAGCTTCGCCAGGTCGCAGAACATGCGGCACGGGCTTTTCGGCGGCCAATGCCACCTCCTGCCGTTTGATTAACAACCCGAACCGCCAGGTGTCTATACCAAGGACGGATGCACAGTGAAACAGGAATGAAGTGCATAGGGGAAACCAGTCCCTGGAACTGTGTGGATGTCCTTGCCCACGCGCTGAGCGGCTTGTTCGAGCATTAGTGGAAAGCAATTCGGCCTTAGCGAGACATGCCAGGAGCCTTACACACGGTGGACTGTCCCTGGTGTATGTCCATGTATATCCAACTGCTGGCGCTACGATGTGCTTTGCTTGGTGCTTGGCGGTGCATTCTTCTCGGACAGCGGGCCATCTTCGGCGAAAGGCCACCTGAGCCACCCACAATTTATGTTCAATTTTAAACGGCACCCCATTCGCACACGTTTTGCAAACCATTGGCAAAACATGTATATTACATTCTAATTCCATATCTCACAAACACACACTTGCTCAGAAACATCTTGTTGAATTACTGATGTGGAATGCATCGCACGTGCAAAAACACTTCAGTTAAACCTGACAGGAATGGTTTGATGATTGGAAGTGAGAAACTGTGCGAAGAAATCTTTCTACGTCCTTGCTCGAAGGATTTACTTGTTCTGATGCAGCTCAGTCAGATTGCGAAAACCGTACAGTAGTTTGAAAACTGTTGGAAAAACGACATGCCGGTTCTTGGCTTAGCCGGTTGCCATTGACGAAAAACTGGAAAATTGCAGGTACGTTTTCACAGGAACATTGCAGCGTCTTCGTTGGCCGCTGACTGCAATGTTCCCCAGCGGCCCCCTGCTAAGTTAGAAGTTTTACATCTTTACAGATGGTTCACACACACACACACACCCTCCGGCAGGAGGGTGGGAAATTAAGGTCCCGACAATGAGATGAAAATGAAGAGGAAGGGAAATGAAGATGAGGTGAAGATGACAATGAGATGAAAGTTACTTAACCAGGACGCAAAGAGGGGAACGCAAAAGAAGAGGGAAAGAGAAAACACCAACACATGAAACCTAGCCCGCAACGGGCAACCCTGGAAAGGCAAGGGAAAAGAAAAGCGGAGGCCGACGGAAACCGGAACAAGACCAGCGGAGGAGGGGGAAGACAGAAGCGCCTGAACTAACCTGACACGGCGAAAACCTACATCAACCTCAGCACGCAACGGGCCAAACCTACCTGGAGAGAGGAGAACGCAAGAACACATGAAATAGGGACCCATGGGGAACTAGTTGATGACATGATGCATCCACAATTCATGCAAGATTCGTGATAAGGCTCAAAGGCCCTCGGCATTCAAGTCACAACCCTCTGGACGGCTTACGTATTCAACCCCTGAATTAGGTGCACAATTTCAACCTCACCGAGAAACCAAAAAAGAAAGATACCACACCTTGAAAGCATGTCCTGTTACCTGATCATGTGTAAATGGCTGCGGAGTGGCTGGCTCTTGAAACAACAGGAAGGTTGTTGTCGCAGCTTAAGACTATGCATTGGCTGTCCAATGAAAATGGTGAGGCCAGGAAAAGCGGCCAGCTGTTCAACACATCGACATCGACAAATGAGAACAGGAAAAGGGTGAGGCCAAGCACAGCGGCCAGCGGTTCAACACAACGACATCGACGGGTGAGACAAGGAAAAAAGGCCGGCTGTTCACTTTACTTAAACGAATTACTAATTCAAAAGTGTAAATTCAGACATCTTTTTACCGTCAATTGTTAGCCTAGAAAGGCTTTCCCCGAAGGGCTCATACCACCTTGACGGATATCGGCATGAGTGACACACTTGCTCAGAAACATCTTATCGAATTACTGATGTGGAATGCATCGCACGTGCAAAAACACTTCAGTTAAACCTGACAGGAATGGTTTGATGATTGGAAGTGAGAAACTGTGCGAAGAAATCTTTCTACGTCCTTGCTCGAAGGATTTACTTGTTCTGATGCAGCTCAGTCAGATTGCGAAAACCGTACAGTAGTTTGAAAACTGTTGGAAAAACGACATGCCGGTTCTTGGCTTAGCCGGTTGCCATTGACGAAAAACTGGAAAATTGCAGGTACGTTTTCACAGGAACATTGCAGCGTCTTCGTTGGCCGCTGACTGCAATGTTCCCCAGCGGCCCCCTGCTAAGTTAGAAGTTTTACATCTTTACAGATGGTTCACACACACACACATAATATATACATAAATATTTACGAATGCGGTGCCCAAAAAAAACACCACGGAAATCACAATTTAATCATCTGATATTGGACAGGCGTCTTGTGCTCGTACTCGGGCAAAACTCCGAAGTGTGTGCCCGGCTCGTAGACGGCATGCTGGCAGACAATGCTGGTACCCACATGCACGTTGGCAAAAACCATGTGTACCAACAGGATAAATACCTATATCAAGACTACAGACTACCATACAAAAAACATTGCATCCCTGGGCTGCCAATCGGCAGAAACATAAAGAGCAATGATTCAGCGGGTACAGTAGTTGCAATACTCAATCATATACGGATGGCACGTGCTGTCACCATGTGACACGGCCTCTTGTCTTGTAATATGCAATACTGGGCCGCTTTTGGAACTCTTTTGAAAGAAAGTGAGTGGAGCAACGCAGGCGATCTTCGAAGTGACAAAATTACATGAGCAATGAAACATACGTTTAACTTGTGCCCTGAAAAAAGTCTGCCTGTTGTGTACTGTTGTGTTTTGTAAATTTTTAATTTCTGCGAAAATGGTTCTTTCCCCTCTCCTAGGCTATCTTGTGCAACCTACGCGGTTCGTCAGTAAAGGATTGCACAAGCATTTTCTAGAACATTCACTATTTTTGTTGTTTGGTGTTGAAGCTAAAGAGTAGCTGAACCCGCCCAGAAAAACGTGATATGATGAACGCAACAATATTAGGTAGAAATGAATCACAATAGTAGTAAGATGATGCTGGGAAGATCTGGGAAGTCTGTTTGCGAGAGTATCTTGAAATCGGAAAAACATAGACGTTGAATGTTTTCGCGTATGCATATGTGGATATACACACCTATATGCACACATTACATTACATTGAAATTGACATGTAAATTTACAGTATTATAAAATTAACAATTAAATTATATAAAATACTATAAAAACAAACAATTACATTGCGTTAGGCTACATCATGTACATACATATACATACTGACATACTTACACACTTTCATACTTGCATACACACCTACAATCTTACATATTTGCATTTTGGTTCTGCAAATCCTGATGGAATTTGACAGCAAATTCGAACGATTGTTTCTGCAAAGGTTTGCAAACATAGTTGCGAGCACGTTTCGCTCTATAGATCAATTTGATCGCGTCAAAACTTATCAAAAAACACTCGATACAATGATGTACCATACCCATTTGACGTTGTGCACATAGTTGTGGTAGAAGGCAACTTAGCCCCTTCTTGAACCATTCCACAAAGGATTGCACATTAATAAAAGGATTCCCCGCCAAGGCAGTGGCTGCAGTGAATCGCGGCCTCTTTGCCGGCAACTGGTGCTTGCACCAGCACATGCTTCGCAACCACCTGATGTGCTAGCGATATGATGGCATCACCACATTACGATTAGAACATGCCATTGCTGATAATTTTTCGAACCACATTTACCCTCTTAATCTTTTTTAAGCCTTCTTCGTGCAACCAATGCAACATGTTCGAGACTACAAACACTGGCCGTCTCAAAGAACTGGCGCCTGAAGCCTGTGCGTCATTTCGCACATGCACAAGCAGTCCTTTCACACTCACGTGATAAAGCTGCGAACCAAGAACGGCAACGTTGCCACCCACAAGCAGTGGCAACAATAAAAAAACCTTGCAACTGATTTGAGCAGCAGTGATGCACCCACATGGATATAATGACTTGCCACGCATGTGGGCGTGACCGTTTGTAGAAGGCAAACTGGACCAAGTAGTGGTTCAAAAATTGGGGTCACAACTGGAAATCATCAATTCGCATGATCAAAACTTCACGTGAAATCCTGTTCGCCAACCTGCTGGTGGCTAGTACAAATGATAAGATAATACAATACTCCAGAATCAATTTGATTTATATATACAACAGTGAATTTGGGGACTTGGGGGCGCATAGATTCGTGATATATGCGCACACCAGGGTCGACCACAGAATGACCGATATATCGCCAGCACGCACGAATCGAAAACAGCAAACACCAATGCAACCAAAACCTGGCACAAAATCATATAGTATTCAGGTCAGGCATACTCCAATTCCAAAATCTCACGAAAACGAACCAGAACATCGATGCAATGGCAACTCATGGCAGAATGACTTTGAATCTTGGTTCCGGGCGTGATCTTGATGGAACGTTGCGCTTCAGAACAGGTTTGAATGATCTCTTCCACCTTCACCTTCCCTATATTTTCCAACGTTCTTTCGTGTCTGGGCAGCACTAGGTTCCTCCAGCCAGTTTCTGGCCATACCATGGTCATGCGTTTTCATCGTAAATATCAGTAAATTATTACAAGTGTGGAAAACATGTGTATTTGAAATGTGGTGGTTACAGGATGGATACACGAAATAAAACTAACATCTTCACAAGCGCTATCCTTGACATGAAGCAAACAGTTGTGAAAAATCAGTTGAACAGGTGTTGTCACAAAAGGTATTGCAGTCGTAGGAATGCAATGGGCATTATGCTTTCCATTTACATTGGTCATACAAGAGAACCTTCCTAAATTCCAACCCGCACTCAAACAGAGTGCCGGGCGACTTTTCCTGTTGGACCTCTGCGCCGTCCACACGCGGTTGGTGCAACTACCCGATTTGCGAAGAATTACTGTTTCGTATTCCTGACCATCCCTGACCCCTGCATAATACCGCCTTCACTTTATCAATCCAGCCTCCCGAATCAGCGCGGCAAAACAATTTTTCAATAGACGGCGTAAATCTATTTTAGCGTGGGATAGCGTGGGCCTCGTTCCTTCTTGATGAGACATACGTTTACAAAGCATTGTTTGACACTGCGTGGTTGCATGATACATAAATTGATAAAGCAGAGTTTGACATTGCGTGGTTGCACAAAACCTGGGCAACATGACCTATGTGATATGTCCGGCTTTCTGTAGGCATGAAAGCATTCTTGGTGGAAAATCAACAAATATTGCCTTCTCTTTTCACTTCCTTTCGTTGCCTTTTTTCCTATTCATTTCCCTTAGTGTGTCTTTCATGTTACATTTATTTCCTTTCATTTCGCATTCGTTTCGTTTCGTTTTGCATTCATTTCCCCAGTACACTGTTTCTTTCATGTCACATTCATCTCGTTTCATTTCGCATTTTTTTCCCCTCGCCACGCCTTTTTCCGCAGCACTATGTTTCAAGTCAGTTTAAATTGGTTTAGATTGGGGTGTGTTTGGTGAAGGAGGGGATTAAGGAACGCGCAGGGATGCGCAGGGGCATGAGCTGGGTGCGGGTGGCGCGCCCTGGCATGGCAAGATATGGCAAGAACGCCAGGGTTGGCGTAGGCCTGCTGCGCCGCGCAGCTAAGCAAATCCCACATGGGCCGGGCAGCCCATGCAGCCCGCAAAGGGGGTGGCGCAGCTCGCGCACGGCAGCGGAGCGGGCGAGAGCACGGATGAGGGCGGCACCCTCAAGGCTCCATCGGCATCCATCGGCCACCAAGTTCAACGGCCAGAACAAGCAAGCGGCACCGGCAACTATGCGCAAACTCGGGGTAAGTGCGATGTTTGCGCAAACGCGCATGACTCAGCGCTGCCCCTTGCTCAGTGCGCAGTGAAGCCGGGGCTGACCCACTGCAGTCAGCAAGGGCTCCAAGGGCATCAGCGTGGTGCTGATGGCGAGCTGGGTTCCGCCATAGAGGGGCAGCCCGACTGCGACCACCTCCAAGCGCCGATCGGCCGCCCATTTCCTTTTTCATGCCCCTGTCATGTTAATTTCATTTCATTTTTTCATGTTCCCTTCATTTTCTATATTTTCTTTCCCGTCCTTTTCAGTTTACATTCACGTCCATTCATTTTGCATGCATGTTTTTTCATGTTCCTTTCGGCCTAGGTCTTCTTGGGCGTGCTTAAATGTTCTTGGTTGCTTTTGCGTATTGTCAAGAGTCCTTGGCGGTTTTTCTGCGTTCTTATGTGTTTTTGGCGGCTTTTATGTGTTCCAGGATGTCAATGTTCTTCAATGTTTTTGGCCACTTGTGGATCAAGTTGAAGCAGTCTGACGCATTAGAGTTTCAAAATTGTCTACCAGCAGCAATGATCAAAAACACCCCGCAAACGAAACATGTCAAAAGTCAACTTTACGTCGACCTGTTTAAACACCAAATTGTTTGGTAGGAAAATTATTTAGAACCCGAGGGTTGCAGTTTACTTCCATCTAACATGTCCCACTTTTGACCCGATACAAACCCATTAAGGACCCCACTCTTAGCGTCTACACTGCAGTACCCAACCCCCTCCCCAGTAGCTGATCTTATTTGAACAGGGTGCAGGGGGCTAATGTTGTTTGGGTTCTGTGTGGGGTTTGTCGTTTCCATTCTATGGTTAGGAAATGACTCAACTTAACATTTATATTGCCTGAAAACCTAAAATCATAATCATATAGCAGTATATAATGTCATAGGCTATGACTCATAGTTTATTACCAAAAAAAACATACGATACCATGAAATACAATAAAATCTCTACACGTTATCTTAAACATATCCACAAAATGTCTACAACATATCTAAATCATATGAAAAAACATACCTAAAACGCATTCAACATACATTCAAAATACACAACATTTTGAAAGAAAACTATGATTTCCACCATTTACACAACACATACTGTACCCACCATTAGGTGCTATGGGGGAAAAGAAAATGTAAGTTATGAAAATTCAGGCTGGCAAACATATGCGTTTTGCAGGGGCATCCAACGCAGAGGTTTTTCAACTTTACATTTTTTTTTTCATTTTTTTCATTTTTTACATTTGTATTGCCTGAAACCTGGAAACACTATCATATAGCTATACCAAGTCTCAAAACAGATCCAAAGATACCATATAATACCATGTGATACCAAAAACCATCTGAATCTAAATCATCCATGACAACCCTTCGTATCCGCAAGTGTGGTGGGAGTCAAACGAGTCAAGATTTACTCCGTTTAAACTCAATGTGTTTCCAATGTGTTGTGGATCTGCTTTGAAAGTGTTTCCAGTGTGTTGGGTTTGGTTTCAAATTAAGTAACGCACAAATTTTCTGCAGAAAAACAAATGTTGTCGAAAAACAGGAGAACTGATTGGAAACCCTGTCTTTTATGTTGTTTTTCACTGAATACTTGCAGAAAGGTAATTGGGTGCAAAAAAAATTGAATGCAGGTTTCAGCGTGCTATGTTATGATTGTTATGATATATCATCATTGTGCATTCTGCAAAATTTTTATAACATCTGAAGATACCAAGGGCTGACATGGATTATCCATGGAACCTTCTGCCCCAAAAAAAATGTAACTAGCCGCAGGGGAGTTTTCTGCGGGGGAGTTTTCCAAAAACCTGCAAAAACACATGAAAACTGTGACTTTCAGGAATGCGTTTACGAAATGACCGATCTATCTACCTAGCTATCTATCCATCAATACATACATACATACATACAGACAGACAGACAGACAGACAGACAAACAGACAGACAGACAGACAGACATACATACTATGTTTAAAAAAAACTGCAGCCCCTTTTCCATCTATTGTACTCCAATGTATCCCCCAACATATTGGTGGATCCATAGGCCAAATCTCTGTTCAAGACAATTCAAGACATAGTTGCTATGAAAACATACTTCCAAAAAATTTCCCCACAAAATAACTGACATTTATATATGTTCATACGTTTTTTATCATTTCCCGTGGTATTGAAATTTCGGAATTGAATAGTATTGATGTTGTTGAACGGAATAAGTACTAGAAAATTGTTTTTGTAGGTATTATTTTTGGAAAAATAATTTGTTTCCATTTGTTTCCCCTTTTTCATTTCACGGGGGGATGAGGGAGACAAACCGGGTAGACACAACGGGGGAACGGCTCGAGGACTTCGACCCGGCAGGGACGGGGCAACACAACGGGATTACACACCAGGGTAAAACAAGGGAACACCGCCTTGAGGCGGGTGTGGGTTTTCTACAATTGTGTACTTGGTGATTGAATCAAAAATTACCTTTTTACACTGTAATTTACAGTATTTTATGGTTGTGATCTATGATGTTTTGACGTTTGCTGAAAGAGGTCAAAATGCCAAAAAAAACTTTTGCAATTCCGCAACATGTGCTTGAGGTTCAATGCATTCTTTTCTTCCTCAGTGCTCTTTCAGTCGGCATTCTTCGTTTTGAAGAGCTTGCCCAAAGTCTGGATGTATTGATGCTGGTGTGCAAATCTAAATTGCCATGATCTCACATAGATGGGCAACGTGTCTTCGGTAGCGTCATCTTAGTCGAAAGGAACATTATCATCCCCCCCCACCCCCCTCCCGGTCAAGGTAGCAAGACGTCAGCAACAAAGTTGGGCAACGTGTCTTCGGCAGCGTCATCTTACAGTCGAAAGGAACATTATCATCCCCCCCCCACCCCCCTCCCGGTCAAGGTAGCAAGACGTCAGCAACAAAGTTGGGCAACGTGCCTTCGGTAGCGTCATCTTACAGTCGAAAGGAACGTTATCATCCCCCCCCACCCCCCTCCCGGTCAAGGCAGCAAGACGTCAGCAACAAAGTTGGGCAACGTGTCTTCGGTAGCGTCATCTTGCAGTCGGCAAGAGCGTTAAACACGTATACTCCCAGAGAGCACAAACGTGGAAAAAACCACGCCCGCCTCGCGGCGTTGACCCCTAAAACAACGGGGTAACACAACGGGGAAACAACGAGAAAATGAGAAATGTCACGTTTATGGTGGGTAAATAAGAAAAATTGCTTGTGTAACGCATTGAAATTTTTAAACTTGTGCATATGTGCTCAATAATAGTTGGATATTTTTCAAAACGGATTTCTATGCATAAATTATGCCCACAATCAGTTTCAAAACATTCAGTGATTCATTTTCAAGATATTGCATTAAATGTTTAAAAGATTTTGTTTCAAGATATGTTTGTCAAAATATGTTGGAAAATGAGATTTCTATCCATAAATTATGTCCGCAATCAGTTTAAAACATTCAGTGGTTCATTTTCAAGGTATTGCAATGAAATTAAAAAAATGTTTTTTCAAAATCGTTTTGTCAAAAACACACTAGGATATGGTTTAGATAGTTTATGGTATTTCATGATATCATATTGTATTTATTTGATATGTTATGACACTTTATATCGCTATATGATAGTGTTTTCAGGTTTCGGGCAACATAAATGTAACGTTGAAAAGCCCCTGCGCTGGATGTCCCTGCAAAATGCATATGTTTGCCAGCCTGAATTTTCATAGCTTACATTTTTCCCCCCCATGGCACCTAATGGTGGGTATGTGTTGTGTAAATGGTGGAAAGCATAGTCTTCTTTCAACACGCTGATTATTCGGAATGTATTTTGAATATGATTTAGATATGATTTAGATGTGTTTTTGGATATTTTGTGGATATGTTTAAGGTATGATCTATGGAACCTTCTGCCCCAAGTAGCCGCAGGGGAGGTTTCCAAAAGCCTGCAAAAACACATGAAGACTGTCACCTTCAGGTATGCCTTTACCAAATCTAGCAAGCAAATGCAAAAGTTGGGGAGAGGGGGTTGCTAAAATGTAAGTTACCATGTCCCACATCGATTGTTACATTTTGACTCCCCGTTTCCCCTAATTTTTTGGGGCCAAAAAAATTGTAACTTACAATTCGCCACACCCCCCTCCCCCACCGTTTATTGTAAATTACAATTTCCTTGCCCCCCCTAGCAAGACCAAGGTTAAGGGGGTGGGGGTTGTTTTGATGGGGAAATAACCTATGAATTTCCAATTTTCCAGTGCCACGTTTGATTAACCGAGGGTAAATTACATTGACAAACCTCGCAACTCATCCCGATTGGTTTTTTTTCCACACACCTTTTTCTGCCAGCATCTCAGCACTGGGACCGTCTTGGTCCTGGTTATCTCTCAGCAAATTTGTATAATTTGTTGGGGTGGGGTGGCTATAAATACAGAGCCGCGGGGCCCCCCTCAAGGTCGAAGAGAGAGGCGTGATGCCGAGGGTGGGGCTCCGGGGTGGTGTTCGAGAAGGGTGTTCAGGGGTGGCATGTCACCATCAGGGGTGGTGTGTGATGCCGGATTTTGGAAGATGAGGCTGGCCGCAAATGGTGCTTGTGCTGCCATTGTGAGCATGGCGGACCAGCGAGCTATGGAGGCTTGGACAACTGCCTTTCGTAAGGCTGGGACGACTGAGCGGTTGCGAGCTTGCGCCAGGAGACGTAGGAAATCTGTTGCCTCCTTACTCCATTTGCCACCCACCTCCATTGCTAAGACTACGAGGCGGCAGCGAGCCCCGCCGACCAGTTCGGGATATGTACGTTCTTTGGCTTGTCGCGCTGCCCGTAATGCTGGGGACCCAGGTTGGCGGCCTTGGGGGTGTGGTTCGCCCCCTTGCATATTTGGGGGAGGAACTTGGGGCCCTTTATTTTAAAGCTATAATTTGGTGGGTCACAACCCCCCGATAACCCTGCCATCTCTATAAAATCAAAATGTCTTGATTGGATTTAGAAGGCCTGTGGGTTTGGTACCACAAGTACAGTAAGAATGTACCACAATTTAATATATAAATATATCTAAATATAGATATAATTTGAAAAACACATTAAAAAAACAATAAAACACATATGTAAAAAAAATATTTTGAAAAATATGATATATATATATATATAAATAAATAAATAAAAATAGATAATTCTTTAACGGGTTATATATTTCAGAAAATAATTAAAGAAAAACATGGGAAAAACGTAAAACAATCCATTGATGGAAACATTGCTTTTCTTGCGAAGAACCCAGAGCTTTCTCACAACACAGGCAAAAAATGCAAACAACTGCCCGATACACTATGTATAGTTTCCGCCGGAAAAAACAACAACTACGTAAAAATCTATCAAAATTTGTGCATTGGGCAAAGTAAAGTAACACGGCCTTATGAAGCCAAACCCACAAGCCATCAAGATGTAAGTATATACATACATGGCATTTCAAAATATAAAGAGAAGTAAAAAAAAAAGTCTAAGGTTAAAACCGTGTCAGTGAAGCGTTCAAAATCCAAACGTCCAGTCCCGAAAGCCAGCAAACGTCCAAACATCACATGACTGCTCGGCTGACAAGGCCAAGATGGAAACTTCTGAGTTCAGGGGCTCTGCTTTCATACATGAAGCATCTATACAGCTGCTGCACACAAAGCGTTCTTTTTCCAACGCACAAATCTGTCTACAGCAGGTCTTCTAAGACTCCAGCTACTTTACAAAGCCTTCCTGCCCGCTGTGACAGCACTTCACCTGCGCGGTACGACACCCCGCCTGGCCCTCTTGTAAATCTGCTCCTCCAATGAACTCCTGCGCGTATCTTGAATAGATACTGCAGGCGCCATGGCAGAACCCAAAGCCTCCAAAGCCTCCATAGCAGCAGCCATGTCCTGCAAGGAACAGAAAGAAACGGAAAGCGGATCTGCCATATCCACACGCTATGTCGCTATGTTGGAAAAAACGTAGGACAGGTAGCTACTGCATGTAGACCTTGAGGCATTTAGGCAAATAAGTAGGACAAAACCCAAGAATAAAACATGGAAACTGACCTGCGTCCTTCCACCCAAAGTCCGGTCCTCACTGTGAGACAAAGGATTTACCTGCAGTGATTGCGCCCCATCTTTCCAATTTAAAGCCACCAGGGCGCACTGCAACATAGCAAGCACTACTGGCAAAGCCATTGCGTTTCCAGCCAGGTCCATCATCAAATTTTCAGATGGAAACCACTGCTCCGCAAGGGGCAAACTTTGCATGTGCTCCTGGACCAACTCGAGGAAAGGCGTTACAGGAAAACCTTGCATGACCAAACCTTCGCGCCCTAGAGCCAACCGAGCCTGGTGCTCACACCAAAGAGTCATCTTGGGCAAAACGGTGCTCATAGTATGCCGTGCTCTGTCTGGGTCCCAAGAATTTGAATTCATTCGGGTGATAGATTGAGACAAATCTCGGAAGCGAATCTGCGGAGAGTGCAGCTGCTGCAGCACCAGTGCATCCTTCTCCCGGTCCCCCAAAACTTGAAACCATTGGTTGCTGGCCAACTGCGTAGGCGGCCCTTGCCCCCCAATCGTAGCCGGGCAGAGTGGGCAAATTGCATGTGTTGCTCCACCCATGTTTGAGGCACATTGACGGGCGGTGAAGTCTTTGCAGACTCCTTTTCCTTTTGTTTGGCCCGCTTGTCCAAGCGCAACTGAAGGTCTGCTTGCACTGACGTGGACGCCTGGTCAAGAAGCACGTCATTGACACACGGCCCGCCTCGAAGGCACCCAACGAGTAAGGCTCTGAAAGTGGCAAATGTGGCACTGAGGGGCCGTGAAACAAAGTCCACCGAAGGGTTCACAGCCGCCCGAACCAGCAATACATATACCCTCCTGCGCCGAGCAGCACAACCAAACTCAGCAGCATCTGTCATAAAAACTTGGCTTTCATAGCCTCTCGATGATGTCTCAGCCAAGAAGATGTCCATGTTGCTGCTTTCAGCACCCTTGCTATCGTCCATCGCGTCCACATTCTCGAAGAGAACTAGCGGGGGGCATTTGCTGGACAAGTATGCCAACATTCCTTGGAATGTTTGTGCGGAGCCACCCTTGCTGCTCATCTGCCCCAAAACTCCTGCAGCTGCCTGTGGATTGGGATTTGCCTTTGACATATCCTTGCAAGACGTACCAAGCACCAGCAAATCGACCTCTGGAACAAGGCATTTCTTTCGGTGCGTCGCGCATTCTGCTTCAGGTTGGCCTAAGGTGGCAATGTCTACAAAGAGACATGGTTCTGCCAGCCGCGTGTGACAGCAAGCACGGCCCGCTGCTGCAGCATGAGCTGCCTGCTGGCTCTGAGAGCTTGCCCGTTGAACTGTGTCGGCTGCTAGAAACGAAGCACAAGCGATCCACTTCCTTTTCTCTGCGTCCTTCTCGCAACTAAACACATGGGACATGCAGAACGGTGCCCCCTGCTTGTTGGACTTCACTGCGGCGTTGATGGCTTGAATGCAAAAAAGAGGCCCTTCAGACCCAGAGCAACAAGAAGCCCAAGTCAAACAACGGGGAGGTTTTGGCCATCTGCCTCCACTCATGGCCGCGCAAGTTTGGAAATTTTCCACGGCAGCATCCATCAACCACTGCCCGCTCTTAGAGCTCTCAGCTGAAATGGTTCTACTTTGCGCCATGGCCCGCCATTCATCAATAGAATCTGGATCTACGGTGGGTCTCGCGCGCAAGACCCTCGCCATGGCCGGCTAGTGTGGACACGAGCTCTGCGAATCTGGGGGGGAAACATATGGGCCATGGGCTCAAACCTAGCTTCATTTCATTTGATTGATGGATCCTAGTGCTATGGAAAATTGCCACTGCGGCCCGTTGCGGTTCTACATTGTCTATGTCTTTTTGCTTTCAAGAGCAAACGAAAACAAACGCAAACTTCAAACCTGGGCCAACGGAAATCGGAGGTAGGACATGTGCCAAGCAAACATGGTCTTCGGAAACACATCATAGCAAAGTCCCTCTACAGCAGCGTCTTTGACCTGCATACTTTCACACTGACTAGTAGCAGAGATGAAAGCAGCAATGACTTCTGCAAAAGACCATCGGTAAAGTAAACTCAGCAAACGCGCCCAAAGCGCCACGAGCACTGGCAAGCTCTTTTTGGAATCTCTGCGTTGTTTTGGCAGGTGGCAAATGAATATTCACAGTGCCTGGTCTAAGGCCAGGGAGCACACAACTAAAGCGACTAACGCTGGCCAGCAACAAGTTCACACGATGGCCTGCAAGGCTTCTTTCGTCTCATCAAAAAAGCCCGGCTGGAAGCCATCCCCTAATTTCGATTCTACTGTTTGGCCGTGCTAGACTTTTTCTGGACCTTCGCCGCAGCATTCTTCTCCTTGAACATGCGGGCCAACCCGCTCGCATCCTGGTTGGCGAGCAACTCTTTACCTTGCATGACCTCAGCCATGGTCAAAGGTTCCTTCGCAGACAGCTTAGCTTTCGCCTTAGCCTTTCCTGCTGCCTTGGTCTGGGCCTTGGCCTCAGCCTTAGCTGCTGCCTTTGCCTGTGCTGCCTTGGTCTTTGCCTGCGGCGTGGCTTGAGCTTTGCCTTCCAGCAAGGCCTGGTCTGCTGCTTCTGGCCCGTCTGTGCAGCTAACTTTATGTCTCTTGGGGGCTTCGCCCGCGAGGTCTTTTGCCGGACGCTTTCCTTTCGCCCCTGGTTCAGCCTGATCTTCCTCCTTGCGGCTCTGCTTCTTGGGCTTCTCGGTCTTCTCCATATCTTTGCGTTTTTTTTCTTTCTGGGCTTCTGTCTTCTTGTCGTCCTTCTTCTCTTTCTTCTCTTTGTCTTTCTTGTCCTTCTCTTTCTTCGCCTTCTTGTCCGATTTCCTTTCTTTCTTCTCTTTCGCAGTTTTCCTTTTTTCCTTCTCGCCCTTCTTCTTTGTGACCTTGCCAAGCATACGCTGAAGCTTCTCAAACAAATGTTTTCTTTTCTCTTTGCTCATCTGGTCCTCTTTTTTCTTATCCTTCTTCTCCTTCTTCTCTTTTTTCTTGTCACCGTGGCTCGCACCTGCCGATGTGACAGGGGGGTTGCTCTCACCTGAAGGTTCGGTCTCAGCCTTCGAGTCCAACTTCGGATGCTCACTGCCAAGCGTGCCCGGTTTGGAAACCACTGGATCCGACAAAGCTGGCTCAACTTTGGCCACTGCATTTTCTTGGCAAGGCTTTGTTTTCAGACCCTCTTGCCGAGCATCGTGTCCAAATAGCATCTCCTTGTCTTTGTCATCCGCTTGGTTTGACGTTCCACCTTTGTCAGTGGTAACTTCTTCCGGCTCGTGTGGGCCACTGCTGTCTTTTTCAACCAGACTCGAAGGCCTTTTTTCCTGAACTATCGACCACTGCTTCTCCACGTCCAAACAGCACTTTCCCAAGCTAAGCGTTACCTTAGACTCAAGACGCGCCCTTTGAAAACAAAAACCGGCCCTTTCAAAACACAAAAAACAATGTGAACCGGATGGCGTTAGATGCCTCCAAGACACAGCTGCAGCCATATCCACCAGGAGCTGCTTGGTCGCATCATCTGGCAAAATGATCGTGACAGGGGTCTTCGGCAAATCTTCCTGCAGCGCCCTCTTCAACAACCCATCGATGGACTTGCACGTCTTTTTTCCTTCGTCTGCTTTGGTCCCAGCCATGGGGGATCGTAGCAGGGTCACACCTGCAAACAACGTCACCAAGGAGGTGCACACCTGCGAAACACCTTCTGCCAACTGCGCTTCCTCCTCCCATTGCGGGATCAGGCCCTTGTCCGCCTCACTGGGCTTTGGCTTAAGAATAGCACAAACACGGCGTAATTCCTGGGCCTGCTGAGACAGCTTGACGCTCTCAGAAGCAAACCTCTGGCTTGTCTTCGTCATTTTTTGTCGGAACCCATGTTCCTCTGCAATTGACGGGATAGCCTTCAGAAACTGCTGGCTTTCTCCGCGTAGGATCATCAAAGCACTCCATCCTGGCGGAGTGCGGTTTAGGTTCGTGACACTCTTCGCGAGTGCCGGAGCCCGCTCCAAGAGCGCCCACACGACCCGAAGATTGCTGGCACGGACTGCGTGGTGAAGTGCGCTCATGCCAGCCACGTCCCCCAATGACAGAAGTTGCTCCGGTAGCATGTTCTCGATCTTCACAATGGCCATGTCGGTCCGCCCCTGATGAATATCTTCCAAGAGCTTCATATCCACTTCTGCGGCTTCGCGAGCCTCGGACTCGCGCTGCATTTTCTCCAGGAAGGCCCGCTGATCAGACAGCAACTCCACAAGGCGAGCCATCTCTGCAGCACTGGATTGTTTGGAGAACTGCTCCAACTGGCCCTCCGCTTCCACAAGTGGAGCAAGTTCATCATCAGGATCATAGTCGGGAGTTTCCTCTTGGTCATTTTGGCCAGGCCCGCTCGGAGAGCTTCCGCTAGCGCCCTCCTGCTGCATTGGTTCATCCCTGTCCAGGAACTTCTTGTTCAGCTCAGACAGCGAAACGATAATTTCCTGTAGTTTCTGGAAATGCTCTGCCCGCTTTTCCTCACTATCAACCGCGAAGACCTCTGCAATCATAGAAGACGATGGCGAAGTGGCCTTGGAGCCTGCCTTGGAACCAGCACCAGCTGCACCTGCACCACGCGGTGTGCTGACCGCTGAAGACAGCTCCTTTGACTCAACCGTGGCCAAGCTGTGCTCTGCATCGGAGGTGTGGATGTGGACCCAGCTGTTGGCCTCCGGCACGGTGACCACAACAATGACACATGTCAAACAACATCTTTTTGACTCAAACCTCCAAACTCATATATAATGTCATATAGGCCAACACACCAACGGGTAAACATTGAAATGCCTAGCAAGTCAAAGGCCGATTATATATTATTTTGCAACCAGGTCCTTCTGAGCTGAAGAGCTGCTGTGCTCATCAGCGCTGGGAGGCACGCTGCGAGAGCGCTTGCGGTCTGAGGGCGGTGAGTCCGACTTCTTCTCCTGCCAAAAGCAGATAAATTGAAGGAAGCAGTCTGCAAGAATGAATCCTGAGAATTGAGAATGTAACATGTACCAAAATCAACATGTTGAAATCAGGCGGTGGGATTTCCTTTTTATCATTTGCTGTCCTGGCGCCCACGTGGCCCAGGCATGGCTTTGCTCTTTGGGCGCGCCATGTGGTCCTGCATACGAAAAAACGGAGTTTTCAAATCAAAACTTCAAAATGATCTCACACGCCCAGTGACGCAAGAAAAAAGGAAACCATGCATCTCCTCATGCTTTTGGAAGCCCATGGAGAGAGCACGCTCCTCCCACTCAGATCGCTCCAGTACCTCGTTGAGTTCCAGGGTCTTCAAGAAGGCATGCTCGCACTTCTCGCGGTCAGCGAGAACTTCGGGCTCCACTATCTTGAGCCAGTCCAGAGGAGTCAAAGTGGTGGATTCTACGACTTCGCCACGACGAACTGCACCGGGGTGAAAACTCTGCAGGTCAACGATGTTCCGGCATACCCACAGGTATTCGGAGAGGACCTGTGCCGATTCACCTGTGAACCATATCACAAAAGGACCATGATTGTGGAGCTCCGGTGAGCTCCGTTTCGGCACGAGATCAAAATGCCTTTGCCCTGCATGAGGAGTTCCAGGATCTTTTTGAACCTGGCCAAGAGCGCCTTCAAAGACACGGTGCCATTGATGAGGCCGGTCCCATCGAATGTCCCCAGGTCTGCGATCAGTGGATCCCGAGCAGGAGGTAGCTTTGCTGCGCCCGCTAAGATAGCTGACACGCCATTGTTCACCAAGACCTTGGCCTGGCCAGAGGCCCCGATACCTCCAAGCCACAGAGAACCTCCATTGGTGCAAAAGAAGACGATGTGCATGGGGCGCCTGTCTCGCAAGCCAGGGGAGGAAAAAAAACGACCAAACATGGGACAAAACGGAAGCCCGTCTTAAGGAAAAAATCTTGAGAAAAAATGATCGAAGAGTACGAAGCCAAGTTGCTTTCTGTTGTAGGCATCGCGAGCCATTTTAAAATGGCTCACTTGCCCATAGCAGTCTGCCACCATGATTCGTTCAAGGGATGCCACGGCTCGCTTTTCATCCCCCTCCTCTATTTGCCCGGTCGGAGACCACACCAGCTTCTCAAAGATAGCTTGGCGAGAATCCATGGCGACGAATTTGGATAAAGCAGGCATATTGGCTTCCAAGTTTGCGACAGGTGAAACACACTAAAGAACAAAAATAGTTCGAAGCAAGTGTCTTGGATCGAAACAAGCAGTGAAGCGTCCACCGAACAGTGCGGATACTGATGTGCACAGCTTGGTCACACATGATACATTGATCGAGTATTCGACCCACGTATCTTTGATAGATTTATTGACATTATACTGCAGATTCTGCCACACGACAACCAATAACCAAAGCAGCAGCCCTCTTCCACAACGGCACGCCCCTTCCCTTCCCGAGATGCCGCGGTCCTGTCCAAGGGCCATTGAAGAAAGCCAAAAATCTCGACGCCGCAGCCTCACGGGTCGCAGCAACCGGGTTGGGGGCCCGGTGTGACACCGCACCTTCTTCGAAGCTGCAGCACAATCCAACTAGATTCATAGCATGTTTCTCTGCTTCCTTCCACTCGTCCACAACTGCTGCAGGAGTGGCATCCAAAACGATTAGTTCCTCAGAAATGAATCGAAAAACGTGCTCCTTCAGGGCCTTCAAAAGGCTGGACTTGCTCAGTGTTTTTGCCACTGAAAAATTTCCGCCCAAAACTCCACTCAACTGGCTCAGCTGCTCAATCACATTGCCTGTGCGATGCTGAACGCACAGCACTGGCAAAAAAATGTGGTCCTGCGGCAATGACTGGTCCAGAAACCGTAGCAAACGCACATTGGCAGCGTGAGCGTCGCAAGTGGTCAGAGTGCACTGAAACCTGGCAGAACAGAGTGCGTGGAAACCACCCGGCCCGCTCGAAAGAGCATTCCACATTGAAGACGCATTCATATTGGGGAACAATGCCTGCGGAGGTCGGAAAATGTGTTCCTCCGCCACACCGTCTGCAGAACGATATGTCCAATACCCGCGCGAACAAAGCACAGAAGTGCTAGTGGCTGCCTCATGCTGCAGGCTCAAATCAAAGGTGGACTCATCAAACATCAAACTGCGAATCCAAAAATCAATTGCCCCTTCAGACCCAGCTTGCTGAACACGAGCTAGCCCATCATTCTGCCCCTCCAAAATCGCGGAAGCAGTTACAAAACGGCATCTGCCGGCATGCTTCTGCCCTCCGCCCTCTATGCTGTCAGCTATCTGCCTAGCTGTGGCTGACTCAGAGCTGAAACCGGCCCGCAAGACTGCTGGGGCTGTCCATTTCTTCCAAGCGCCCTTGCCCTTGGGCGTTTTTCTGTTGAGGTTCTGCGATTGAAATGGGAACGCATGGTCTACCCCTCGCGAGCGACCACTGGCATTGTAAGCCGCTGCCTGTCGGTCCACTAGGATTGGTTTTTTCTTCAACCTCTGTTGTCGGCTACGCTTCTGTTTGGTGTGCCTCAACAAGCCCGGTCGGAGACCAGTCCCAAATGCTGGACGTCTTCTGACAGCCGTTGCTTCTTCTTGACTTTCATGATTCTCATGAGCATCTTCGATGAGGCTCAAAACATCATCCAAGCTCAAAGCTGCCATTACACATGGACAAAGGGGATTCTATGCACACACGCGCATACACCAAAAGACTAGAGCCACTTCGCGGCTGCAATGTAAGCAACCCACATCAAAAATCAGTCTGGTCCAAACATGACATGGTGCTACAAAGAATATCTCAATCCCAACAACTTTCTAACAAATCAACCGCTTTCAACTTGTCAGTCTTCTGTACCCTTCTCTCAGCAATGGTTAAACAATATCAAGATACACATACAACTTCTGCAAATATCGGGAGGTCAGAAGTAAAACCAACATATCATCATCCACATTTACAAGTATAAACCTCCATTAGTTCTTCATACATGATTGAAACTACAAATTCTTCGCACATGAGTGGAAGTTAACGTTTAAAACTTGTTAGGTCAAAACATGCCCATTGTTTTTTGGTAAAAAAAATCTATAATATATTGTTTAATATTTTCCCCAAAAACAATGTTTTTTTTTTAGTTTTTGTTTTTTTTGTTTTTTTTAATTTGTTTTTTCCTTTTTCCAGTTTTCATGGCTGATCCTGTGAAGGCTCCCACAGGCCTTCTTAGATCCAACCAAAAAATGTCCAGCCCTGCACAGGGATGGTCACTATACAACCTAGGGCTGAGTTACCTCATTTTGATGGCAATTCTCTCATTGATTCTGAACGAACGTTTCTGAACTATATTTTGAGGAAGGCTGTGAGCCGTGATTTTATAACAGGGCGCGGCAACACCATATAAAGAATCTATGCACTTTGATGCTAAAGACGCCTCATTTGGCAGCGTGTCGTAACTCAGTGCTTCACAGTCGCATTGTGAACAGTAGTGAAAAATGCTTTGGAAACTGCTAAAACCCTGGATCTAGCTCACAACCTGCATCCGCGCGCGGAGTGCCAGTGAAAGAAAAACCGCCTTCTCAAACCGATCAGGTCGGTATCCGCCCAAACGCTCGCATCGTTGTTGTTATATCTTGTTATCGTTTTGCTATCATTTTGGTTCCTCTGCAAGTTGTCATCGTCAGGGTTTATGAGCATGTGCACGTATAAATTCGTTGATTATTGTTTTTTTCCCTTATAGTTTTCTGGACCAGTAATGAATTGGTACTCAATGCCGGCGAACGCCCCCCAACGTTGCAGTCAACTATCATTCCCGCATGGAACTACGTCCCCCAACTGCTAGGAAAAGTCGCCCCAACTTTTTCGCCCAGTGTAAACGCAGCACTAAAATGAAAAAGTGCAAAAAAAACTATCATCCCAAATGTGCAAATCACCATGAGAACGCGAGTCACCGCAATAATTTCAAACTATGGAAAATTATAATTGGACGGAATGACATGTTTCAATATGTTTCAATATCAAAACACCATGTAAACGCATGATTCATGTACGTTTGGGTAAAACATTTTTTGTTGCAAAACGCATCTAATTCTAATGTTCAAAGTATAACAAGTACATCAAAGAAATGCCATCTTTTGGTTCAAGACACAATGTGAATGCATTCTTCATGTATGTTTTGGCATGTTTTGGTAACAAATCTATCGGGTTCTGATTTGCATCTCAACCCAATATTTCTGCAACGGGTTCCGAACAAGGTAAAAAACGAGGCCAAAACGAGGCCAGAAAACAACCCCTCAGCTTTAGCAGCGGTTTACCACCAGCCCAGCAGCAAGTCTTTAGCAGGAGTTTAGAAGCAGTCTGGCAGCAGCTCAGCAACAGTTTGCACGCTGCCCGTGGTGATATCCCGCAGCCATTTAGCAGCAACCCAGCATCAGCCCGACAACGGCCTAGCTGCAGGCGAGCACCTCCTGTAATTAGATGAATCGATGCAACTACTCTAGTAAGGAACCTTTCGGCACGGCGACATGCAAACACGTGACTGGATTTGCTCGAAGGCCACATGAATGAACCAGGCATGACAAAAAACACGTTCACCAGTGTAAACACAAGCTAAATGAAGCAAAGTTTACTTCTAAAGCATCGTTTTTTATCTTACGTAACTGCTCCACAGCAAGTAAACGCATGTTGGGGCGACTTTCCCGGGAAGTCCCCCCCAACTAAATGCAAGATTTTGGATCGGGCGGGGTGAGTTCACTACAATCGAGTAGTGCTAAGGGGCAAGCCAAGCGAAAATGAAAGGCCCGGGTTGTTATACTGTCCCACTTAGATCTAAAGGAAGACCGCGAAAGAAACGCAGAATAAACAAAGAAAACTGAAACAAATGAAAGCAGGACATGCGCAGCAATGCAACGCAAGAACCAAAACAGGAGACAAAAACTGAAAAGATTAGTTGATGAGCATGCATGCTGGACTTTGGTGCGCCCAGTCCCTCACAGTCCCTCATGACAGCCGGCATCTGGCTTGGAGTTTTTCGGACTGGGGCGTCCGAGGGAAGAAGACGCAAAGAAGAACGAACGGAAGATAGCAGAGGAGAGAAAAAAGTAAATTCAAGAACACGCAGGAAGAGAAGCAAGGAAGGACAGCTGCCACCGGACTCGAACACTAGACCGATGCCAAAAAAAATGTCAAAACAATTGAGAGAATATGTGCCAGAAGACAAAATCAATGATCCACCTTTTCTGCCCAGAGCATCACTAATGAAGTGTGTGTGTGTGTGTTCATGGTTGCTCAACCTTCATAACATACTTCTTGTCCAACCAAACCCGTCGAATGTCACCGGGAGACTTTACGCTGACAAGAGGATTTTGGAAACGAGGTGCCAAAAAAGTCCGCAACCGGGCGTGGAAGTACTATACAAGAAGTGTTCCAACGGCATTTTCGGAGACAGTGTCGGAAATCGTTTGTGTGTTTTGGAATCATCTTGCATCGAACCGGAGAGATGGGGAGTTGGATCAACGCAGGGCAGCTGCAAAAATTAGTGACACCCGTGGCAACAACTTCATGGAGGTTTACAGTCGCCATTTGCAGGCAACCCAAGACTCAACGGACTGTAGATACAGTGCACCAAATGTAGGATGTCAATTGATGTCAATTGATGTCAATTGATGTCAATTGATGTCAATTGTGGGATGCAAACGGATTTTACACGTTCGTCTTGATTTCTTGGCGCAACGGCGATAGGGTAATTGTGAGTAATGGCAGGTCCCAACGGAAAAAAAACAAATTGTACGTTTCAACTGGCTGACCGACATGATTAGTTGGCCGAAAAACAAACGTTTGTGGATTTTCGTTGGTCGGGATCGTTGTTGGGCCCATGTCCTGATGGGGCCGCGAAGTTCTCGGACGGTTGTTCTAGGAATGCAGTGGTGCAGACAAGTTGGGTCTCCCTTAAAACTTTAGAATTAGTGTAAAAGGTACACAGCTTCGTTTTGTTGGCGGCGAGCGCTTGCACTTCTAGATTTCTAAACAGGGAAGAAAACTCGACTTTCAGCAAACATGTCTTTCGAAATTTCCTATTACATCGTAAGTTACATCCTATTACTATCCCAAAACTTGTTGTCAATGTTAATGGATGTTAACAGCACATTCTTGTGGCGTATTCTGTGCCAATAGGCTTCGCGAGAACCGAACCAAAATGTCGGGACCGAAGACTTGCAATTGTGTGGACGTGCCACGTTTCAATGGGGTCAAGGCACAGGTTCGCCATGTTGGGGCCTGCAAATATGCATTGGGACGTTCAGTTGATTCAGTTGCATATATATATATACATATATATATATACATATATATATACACATATATATATATACATATGACTATACGACTATATGTATGACTATATGTATGTATGTATGTATGTATGTATGTATGTATGTATGTATGTATGTATGTATGTATGTATGTATGTATGTATGTATGTATGTATGTATGTATGTATGTATGTATGTATGTATGTATGTATGTATGTATGTATGTATGTATGTATGTATGTATGTATGTATGTATGTATGTATGTATGTATGTATGTATGTATGTATGTATGTATGTATGTATGTATGTATGTATGTATGTATGTATGTATGTATGTATGTATGTATGTCTCTATGTATGTATGTATGTATGTATGTATGTATGTATGTATGTATGTATGTATGTATGTATGTATGTATGTATGTATGTATGTATGTATGTATGTATGTATGTATGTATGTATGTATGTATGTATGTATGTATGTATGTATGTATGTATGTATGTATGTATGTATGTATGTATGTATGTATGTATGTATGTATGTATGTATGTATGTATGTATGTATGTATGTATGTATGTATGTATGTGCATGTATGTATGTGCATGTATGTGCATGTATGTGCATGTATATGTGCATGTATGTGCATGTATATGTGCATGTATGTGCATGTGCATGTATATGTGCATGTATGTGCATGTGCATGTATATGTGCATGTATATGTGCATGTATATGTGCATGTATATGTGCATGCATATGTATGTGCATATGTATGTGCATATGTATGTGCATATGTATGTGCATATGTATGTGCATGTGCATATGTATGTGCATATGTATGTGCATATGTATGTGCATATGTATGTGCATATGTATGTGCATATGTATGTGCATATGTATGTGCATATGTATGTGCATATGTATGTGCATATGTATGTGCGCATGTATGTGCGCATGTATGTGCGCATGTATGTACATATGTATGTGCATATGTATGTGCATATGTATGTGCATATGTATGTGCATATGTATGTGCATATGTATGTGCATATGTATGTGCATATGTATGTGCATATGTATGTGCGTATGTATGTGCATATGTATGTGCATATGTATGTGCATATGTATGTGCATATGTATGTGCATATGTATGTGCATATGTATGTGCATATGTATGTGCATATGTATGTGCATATGTATGTGCATATGTATGTGCATATGTATGTGCATATGTATGTGCGCATGTATGTGCGCATGTATGTGCGCATGTATGTACATATGTATGTGCATATGTATGTGCATATGTATGTGCATATGTATGTGCATATGTATGTGCATATGTATGTGCATATGTATGTGCATATGTATGTGCATATGTATGTGCATATGTATGTGCATATGTATGTGCATATGTATGTGCATATGTATGTGCATGTATGTATATGCATGTATGTATGTGCATGTATGTATATGCATGTATGTATGTGCATGTATGTATATGCATGTATGTATATGCATGTATATGTATGTATATGTATGTATATGTATGTATATGTATGTATATGTATGTATATGTATGTATATGTATGTATATGTATGTATATGTATGTATATGTATGTATATGTCTGTATATGTATGTATATGTATGTATATGTATGTATATGTATGTATATGTATGTATATGTATGTATATGTATGTATATGTATGTATATGTATGTATATGTATGTATATGTATGTATATGTATGTATATGTATGTATATGTATGTATGTAATGTAATGTAATGTATTGTAATGTAATGTAATGTAATGTAATGTAAGTATGTATGTATGTATGTACGTATGTATGTATGTATGTATGCGTATGTATGTGTATGCATGTGTATGTATGTGATTGTATGTGTATGTATGTGTATGTATGTGTATGCATGTCTGTCTGGGATGGATCTAAATAGATATATATATATAATATATATATACACGAAACGCAAAGCACTCGTGTGTGCGCAAATTGATGTTGGAAGTAAGAACCCTGGAAAGGATCAATATTCGCCTGTTGCTCATTTTCTGGCGACGTCATTTCGTTCCAAGTACTCTTGGGTTTTGTTTGTGGTCGCCGGACACATACCGCAAAAAATGGACACGAACGTTGATTTTTGGAAATTATTGGCCGCAGCCCTCCCCCGCACCATTTGTGACACGATAGACACGGCATTTTGCGTGGGTGAAACGGAGTCATGTTTAATGTTTGTTTCGTGCTCAGCCTGCAGGCATTGTAACCTCTAGTGTTTTTTTTTGACATGGAATCCGCCGGACAACCATGTTTTAGGATTCCGGTGGCCCGCGGTCCGCGCGAAGAACACGGGCTATAAGAGTTCTACCAGGTGACCACGTCCAGTGGTACCGCATTTAACTTCTCATTTTGTCGAACTTTGCCGGTTCAATCGCAACTGCGTTACTTCACACGGCTGAATAGGCCCGTCACATTCCAGGCATCCAAATTTGAAATCAAAATCTTAATGAAATGCAGCAACAAGCAAGTGTTGCCAATAACCGCTTGCATCCGAAGAAAACTGCGCATCTAATTTCAATTTGATCCCTTCCAGTCATCAAGTTTTGATTGTATGAATGTGCGGAATTTCTTATTAATCGTTTCTAGATTTGGTTGTCAAGAGTTGTCAATGCCTCCACGCAGAGTTGCACTGCGCCAAATGCCCTGTGGCAACACGAAAGCAACACCGTACGCATTTTGTTGCGAAGGGTTCCACACAATTGGAGGTTCGCAGGCCACGGCCCAGCCGCTCCTCAAAAAATTTCAGGCACGGTATGTTGCCCTCACGCTTTGGGTTGACAATCACTTGGATGGCAATGTAAGGGCGATGTTATGCGATGTTCATGCGCAGTACACGGTGCTGCTACGTTTCCTCATACCGCCCAATTTTGTGACAGGCTCGACCTCATCATTTCTCCAATTGCAGAAAAGAGATTACGGGGAGCTTGGGTGCCTAAATTAATGTGGTTCGAAATGCTTTTTAGCTAGAGGGTGCCAGAGGCATTTGCTTGTCAAATGTGTTGGGCTGAGACTGAACAAGCCCGCAAGGTATGTTAAGAAATTTGGAAGTACCTCGCGGACTGATCGGGTCAGTATAAAAGTCGTTCTTGGTCCCATTCCCGAGTATTTTCAAGCCTGCAGCCTGGCCGAACCCGTGTACATGTGGGCATACTTAAAGGGGAATGTTTGGACATATGGTCAACATGCAAAAATAATGCTATTTGGAGGGTAGACAATGGGGTCAAACGCGCCATGTGTCACAGCAGCACATTGTTGGCTCGCACCAGAAGCGATCATTTGGCAAAACTAGAGGTATCTAGTGATTCTAATGCTGTCTCCGGGACTAGGTCGGAACAGTACAGCGACACAGGTTGGACGGGCACCCTTCCATTTCAATAGAATAATACAAATTCTTCAACATCCTTCAACGACGGTGGATTGGGATAATGAGACAGACAGAAGCGTGTACAATGTTATATTGTGTTTCAAATACTGAAATACTGGCTGCCAGGGATGCGTATCTTAAATCTTCAACCGCAGCCCATATCTGATCTTATCTGTCTTCTTTGAGCATATTGAGCCCTTGAGGCCAGCCAGGAAACTTTTTCGGGATATCTCATTAAGAGTCTAAAGAGCTTTTTCTACATCGGCTTTGAGTGCTTGCGCTGGCGGCTCCAAATTGAATATTTTCCAGGCAGAATGCAAACACCATGCAAACAACCAAAAAATTGCTGAAACTAGAGCCCGTTGATCGCGATCAAACACTAGCAGCTCCTTTACGCATCATCTGTGACAGTTGCAAATCCTTTGCGCATCATTTAGAATTCTTGGCATTGAAATGTGTAAGACTTGCAAAGCACTTCACTGCCGGTGATGGTGCCCCAGAAAGGCGCACTTTTCTGTCCCCATTCTTTGGCCACCTCTCGGCAGCAATGGCCTTGATCCCGAAATCTTCGTCCATCCAGTACGGCCGTTGCCCTACAAAGGTGACTCCTTCATCACCACATGGAGGCAGTGGAAGGTTTGCTCAGTTTCTTTGGTTCAACGCCAAGATCCTGCCTGGGAGTCTCGTATCCAACATGTAAGTCTCAGATATGAAGCGATTTGCTCAGTGTATATCAGTGTGCTTCCAATTGTCTGTAGCAACAAGTTTTGGGTTCCTTCAATTAGATAATTTTAGCTGTATGAAACACATTGAAAGCTTCCAGAAGCTTCCAAACTGGCTCCACGGTGTCGCCTTGGTGAAACATGCGTGTCGCGTCTGGCTTCATTGAGGCGGCTCATCTTCGGTGTCAATCCATCTCAAGCGTGTTCCTACCTGGTGATCTGCCACAGCTCGCTAGACGACTTCCAGGATGATTGGATCCTACATGATCCTACGTCCGTTCTATTCCAAAATTGGTCAACATTTAGCAAATACACACCTGCTATCACCTGCTCAAACACAAATTAGGATTCTTTGGGATTCTTACATGATCCTGCCTTCCAAAGTCCTTCTCTGGCAACCCCCTTGGCATCAATGTAGCGCCCTTAGGATCTTCGATGCAACGGCCACCAGCATGATAATTTGATGTATATATATAATATTATATATATAATATTACGTATATATATAATATTACGTATATATATATAATTTTATATAATTATATAAGTATAAATTATATATAATTTGATAAAGGGGTCTTCCACTCTTCCACTCCCAGAAAATATTCTCTGCATTTTTCTGCCATGTCTATATTGCCACAAACATTTGGCTGGATGCTAGTGCTAATGAAAATGTGTTCTGGCATGAGGAACCTCAGGTCTTGTTTGCTGGGACCTGTGTCATGGAATGAAGCCATCAACTCATCAACTTCCAAGTCTTCTTTGCGGCACTTGCAGCCAGGGTGCCAGTGCCATGCTGTTTTCCTTCGAGCCACTGACCGACGTAGCAGCGACCTCAAAAATTGACCAGAATGGGATCTGAAAAGGACTTGATCACTAATGGTCAACCACCCTCCCTCTACAATCTCGTGTGCTACTGTGTCACATCCTGCAATATTCCTATTCTTATCGCTTCTCGAAGGTGGCTTTGGACGAAAACATGAAAACGGCAATTGCCACAGGCCACAGATGCCACAGAATGCCTGGTTTCAGCTGCATCTGAGGGGATGGCCGTCTGGCCAACAGAATTTTCCTTCCCCAGATTTCCGGTCTCCCAGGTAGCCACCCTCGTACCATCGACCTAAATGACCATGCCGAAATCCTAAACTTTAAACTCATCGTTGCACAAAGCTGGCTGTTCTAACATGTTCCGGAACATGTTCCGGCAAGAGACTTTACATGTTGTAAACGCATCTCATGTTGTATAATTGATCGCATCTGTCATAGTGTCCAAAAGGTTCTCATAGATCACTGACCAGAGCTTAGGTCTTGGAGACTTGAGGCTTCTTGGCCCCCTGCCATCCGGCCAACGCATGGTTCCAGTCCCAGTCCTGCAGCGACGCCATAGGTTGGCAACAAGAGAAAAATCAGAGAAAGTTCAAACATCTGGTTGGATAATGTCAACCACTGTCAACCTATCATGTTCTGTACTTGAGTGCAAGAATGAGCTAGCAACTGGCCTCTCTTCCTTCTCAGTACCCTAATCATCCCTAATCTATGCATGTTTGTAGGGTAGACGGTGGATTGTAGACTCCACAGGTACAGTCAGTGGCAGTATGTTCTCAGTGGCTGGCATCTGGCTGTCTTGCCACGTTCCCACGTAGACACCTGGGTAGCTGATCACACTGCCGCAAGATATGTACGTGTCCTCGTTCTGTTGGGGTTCACTGGATTCTTGTGTCACAGTCCTTCAGGCTTGGCAGTCCATTGAAAATTGAAGGCGGGAAAAGAATCGGCCAATCAAAAGGCATGACATGGCATGACTACATCATCAATTTCGCAGTCAAAATTGCTAAGGAGGCAACGTCCATCTGAGAACGTGTAGGTCCCCTCGGGCAGTGGCAAGTGTTCAACACAGCAAAAGCACAAAAGCACAGCAAAACACGTGCTTCCCTGTCTGGATATTCATATCTGGGGTGGTTTGTGCCCCTTCTGCGGAGTCTACGGCGAGAATCCATTTTGAATCCCTCGCTACAAATCTTTCGGGCATACTGGAACAAATAATTTCACTTGAGGGGTCCAAAGTCACAAGTCTCATATCTGTTCCTGCCGAAATTGATCACACATTGTGGTATCAATCTGCCGGCAACAACGGATCCCATCCTCGCCATGCATGCTGTCATTCACAAACTGGCCAGAGTAGGACCTGGGTTCATAAACCGCTTCGAAGCATAAGCTACATCCCACACTCCACTCAACTTCTGATTCCAAACAGCCCAAGACATATGCAAATGCACATTATTGCACGTGGCAATCGAAGCATCATATCACAACATATGATGTCATCTCATAACAGAACATAACATATCATATTACATCACGTGATACAGCACCTATGCCAATATAACATGATATAATATGTGTGTGTGGCTCAGGGGCGGGTGATTCTCTTGAAGCAGCGCTATGGGCAGTGGGCTCGTGTATCCACGCCACCATCCATGACAGCAATCCGAGGTCTTGCCGTGTTGCATGTCTCGACTCGACTACTGAGAAGGCAGCGAGTTGTCAGATGAAGTGAATACGCCATGGCCATGCTTCTTTCCATCCCTTGCAATGGCCCAACAACGTCGTTGCGACAGTGTCAGCAACTGACATCAACCTTAACGAAGCCGTCACCGTCACTGTCACCGTCGTTACCGTCATTGTCATCGTCATCACCACTCCACAGAACTACCAACATCAAAAGCTCGTCCTCTCCCCATCGCCTGTATTCACCCTTGAAGGTCGAACCGTCGGCCCAAGTCTCAAGGCCCTGCCCTGACTTCATATCCTCCAAGTGTGACACGTGCGACACGAGTCTGGCCATCCAAGAACCTCTGATCATCTTTGAATATCTCTGAAAAAGCTCGAGCTGCATATGCTGACATGTATATTTATGATCAATCATGTATATCTGTATATCAATGTATATCATATATCTGTTGCATTTCATGTGCACAAGTGTTAATTAGTGCTTATCATGACTTCCTCCAGTTTCCTTTGCTTCGGAAAGACTCTCCGGATCCCTCCAGAGTCCTCCACCCACTCACCAATGTAAGATGAGCCTGGCATGGATCTGTCTTAAGGGAGACCTACCAACCCATGGATCCCATGGTTTTCCCTTCAAAAGTATCACAAAATCATCCAATTTCATGACATGTAATGAAAATTCATGAAATAGCGCCTTACTCTCAATCAATGTTAATCGTACTGTTTGGTGGTGAACAGCACCCAACACAGGCTGCACCGTCGGAGTGAAGGAACTTGCCAGAACCATGGGCCTGTCAGTCGATGGCTCAGCCAGCTCTAAATGAGACAAGCGGACAAGCCACCCAGAATGATCTGCGTCACGTGCAGTGTCAGCACTACAGAGAAAGTCTAAGAGCCTTTGTTGGATGAATTGGAACCAAAACATGAAGACGTGAAGGTCGAATTTGGTCATGTTGACGTACGGTGAAGGCAGGATGATCATCCTTTGGAGGCTTTGAAACCATGACGCAGTTTGCCCTCCAAACGGGCCTTGTCATCGAGCCACTGTCCCTCGTACACATCACCATTGGCGTGAACGAATCTGCCTCTGCCTTGATTTACTGATGACACAAAGTCGTCCACCCACTGAATCGAATGCCACTAAAAGCATCTAAAAGCTACTCCGATGCCCATCAAACCCAGTAAGCGGATCGTCATGGTCAGCCAAACCCAAAATGCCATGCTTGAAGATATCCAATACACAAGGGTCAAACTCCTGGCTACTTATCAGTTCCCAAGTGGGACAATTATCCAAACATACTAAGGTCCATGCCACATGCGCGGTCGTTCACAAATTGCCCCTCGTACCTGCCGCCATCTGGCCTGGCAAACAAGGCTTGTGAGGGCTTGAACCTACTCAGTCTTTCTACCGACCCCGGCCTGAGTAACATGCCTTCACCATGCCGACGTGTTCCCAGCCATTGGCCGGTATAGACCTTAACCATCCCAGATTTGATGGCACAGAGGAGCCACTGCAGAGCCAGGACCGTGCAGTTGTAAGCTGCCAGCAATGTGATTGTCTAGTTCCACTGGACCTCTTTCATGAGGTCCCTGCACAAGCAAGTCTGTTGTCCGCTCAAAGCCCAGAGTAATAGCCCGTAAAAGTGTTGTTGAGCAGTGGCAGTCGCAAAAACCTTTGTGGAAAATCGTGTTTGCTTCATATCTGATAGTTTCTTTACCATCTTGTACTGATAGAGCATGATAGACGGCGATAAAAGATGCTTAGAGTTAGAGATCTAGAGATCCAATCAAGAAACATCATCCATTTGCTTTGGCCCTCACTTGGATTGGCGTCCCTGCAAAATCCGCTTCCCCACCTCCGGAATTTTCGTTGCATCGAAGACTTGATTCGCATGAGGCCTTGGTATCATCAGTGTCAAGGCACCCAGATTATGCCCCAAATCTGGGCCAGTAGCAGATTGAAGAAGAGCGAGTTGGTCTGCACTGCTTTGAGGGTAGACTCCTGGAGAAGCTAAACGCCCCCAAGACGTTCACAAATGGTTTTGCAAATGGCAACATCACTGCTGCAGATTCAAATCTCCTCGCTCTTGTTTGTACAGCACGGACTGGTACCGCATGGTATATCCATGTCACATTCAGAGCTCCTTGTGTGGTCTCAGCTTCCTAGTTTTGTTGGTGTGCGTAGCTTTGAACCCTTTTTTCCAAACAAAAATGTGGCTGGTGTAAAGTGAATTTTCCTGCGAGCAGGCGGTTTGTGGCTTTGCTACAGCTACTAGGGCTAGCTGGTTTCTCATGTTTCATGTTTTGCAAGTGATTCTGAGATGTGTATATAATATATATATATATATACACGCCCAGGACTCCTGGTTCGCCGTCGGCGGGAAAGCAAATTTTCTTCACGTCAGCCAAGGTACTTTAGTCTCATTGTAACATTCGGCAGGGGTGATTCGCACTGTTGCTGTTGAACAGGCCTGCCGATACTCCTTCATAGCGATAACGTAGCATTTCCACCCTGAAAACATAACAATAACGTAGCATTTCCACACTGAAAACATAGCGATAGCGTAGCATTTCCACCCTGAAAACATAGCGATAACATAGCATTTCCACCCTGAAAACATAGCGATAACGTAGCATTTCCACCCTGAAAACATAGCGATAACGTAGCATTTCCACCCTGAAAACATAGCGATAACGTAGCATTTCCACCCTGAAAACATAACAATAACGTAGCCTTTCCACCCTGAAAACATAGCGATAACGTAGCATTTCCACCCTGAAAACATAACCATAACGTAGCATTTCCACCCTGAAAACATAGCGATAACGTAGCATTTCCACCGTGAAAACATGGCGATAACGTAGCATTCCCACCCTGAAAACATAGCGATAACATAGCATTTCCACCTTGAAAACATAGCGATAACGTAGCATTTCCACCCTGAAAACATAGCGATAACGTAGCTTTCCACCCTGAAAACATAGCGATAACGTAGCATTTCCACCCTGAAAACACAGCGATAACGTAGCATTTCCACCCTGAAAACATGGCGATAACGTGGCATTTCCACCCTGAAAACATAGCGATAACGTAGCATTTCCACCCTGAAAACATAGCGATAACGTAGCATTTCCACCCTGAAAACATAGCGATAACGTAGCATTTCCACCCTGAAAACATAACAATAACGTAGCATTTCCACCCTGAAAACATAGCGATAACGTAGCATTTCCACCCTGAAAACATAGCGATAGCGTAGCATTCCCACCCTGAAAACATAGCGATAACATAGCATTTCCACCCTGAAAACATAGCGATAACGTAGCTGTGGCCAGTCTTTGGACACACTAGTAAAATGACATGCATGAAGAATACTTGCTTGTGAAAAGATCTAAGCGCATATGATATTAATGTGAAATCTTTTTACCCGAGACAAACGGTCTTTTGAAACAACCTGTGCTAACCCAGATGTATCTACTTGTGACGCTTGTTTACTTGAAATATACCTTGGAAAGAGGCACATGCCGCTTTTTACTTGAAAACATGGTCTGAAATCATAAACACATCAACGTTTGAAATTTTAGGATTCGTTTACTTTATATGTTTTCTTGCAGTGCCTGTTGCCTTGAGGTTTACATCAGCCAACAACTTTGACACGGTCCTAATGTTGCAAAAACCCAGCTTCAGCACCTAGGACTGGATGGATAGATAGATACCCTAACATCCCCTAACATGAACTTTCCCATAAACCCTAGTTAACCAAGTGACAAATCAATTTAGCTATCTAGGAGGTGTCACCTTGTTGACCCTTTCCAACCCTCAAACCATGGCCGGGTCTGTGTTCCACACTGGATCCAGAAGCTTCACCACTGCCACCCTCTCCTGCAAACAACGGCCATCAGGAAAGGTACCAATTTTTTGTATGTGGAAGTACCAGTGCAATATTCTAAACCATCCAAAAATAAGAAATGAAGCGGAGAGGAATGATTCCATGAAAATCAACCACACTGTGTAATACATCAACGTTTGAAATTTAAAGGTTCGTTTACATATATTTAGTTGAGAGATCCACGCAATGTGGCGTGAAAAAGAACCAGGCAGTTGATGGCTAGTTCGCGGGATTCTTCCGTCTCGAAAACGATGTGGGATAATACGATGGCCGGACATGCTGGATCATCATGCTTCCCCACATCAACTTGTGCGTGAAACCAGCTTGACTGCTCGGCAACTTTTTGTGTTTTCTGGCAGGGCCTGTTGCCTTGAGATTTACATCAGCCAACAACTTTGACACGGTCCTAATGTTGCAAAAACCCAGCTTCAGCACCTAGGACTGGATGGATAGATAGATACCCTAACATCCCCTAACATGGACTTTCCCATAAACCCTAGTTAACCAAGTGACAAATCAATTTAGCTATCTAGGAGGTGTCACCTTGTTGACCCTTTCCAACCCTCAAACCATGGCCGGGTCTGTGTTCCACACTGGATCCAGAAGCTTCACCACTGCCACCCTCTCCTGCAAACAACGGCCATCAGGAAAGGTACCAATTTTTTGTATGTGGAAGTACCAGTGCAATATTCTAAACCATCCAAAAATAAGAAATGAAGCGGAGAGGAATGATTCCATGAAAATCAACCACACTGTGTAATACATCAACGTTTGAAATTTAAAGGTTCGTTTACATATATTTAGTTGAGAGATCCACGCAATGTGGCGTGAAAAAGAACCAGGCAGTTGATGGCTAGTTCGCGGGATTCTTCCGTCTCGAAAACGATGTGGGATAATACGATGGCCGGACATGCTGGATCATCATGCTTCCCCACATCAACTTATGCGTGAAACCAGCTTGACTGCTCGGCAACTTTTTGTGTTTTCTGGCAGGGCCTGTTGCCTTGAGGTTTACATCAGCCAACAACTTTGACACGGTCCTAATGTTGCAAAAACCCAGCTTCAGCACCCAGGACTGGATGGATAGAAAGATACCCTAACATCCCCTAACATGAACTTTCCCATAAACCCTAGTTAACCAAGTGACAAATCAATTTAGCTATCTAGGAGGCGTCACCTTGTTGACCCTTTCCAACCCTCAAACCATGGCCGGGTCTGTGTTCCACACTGGATCCAGAAGCATCACCACCGCCACCCTCTCCTGCAAAAAACGGCCATTGGGAAAGGTACCAATCTTTTATATGTGGAAGCACCAGTGCAATACCATATCTGGTCCCATTCATTGAGAAAAAACTTGGTGCGTTCCACAAATTCTGAACCATCAACAAATAAGAAATGAAGCGGAGAGGAATGATTCCGTGAAAATCAACCACACTGTCTAATTAATACGGTCGCAGCGTTACACTATACAGAGCATTAGAAACAATTCCAAAGGCGTTGTTCCTCCACTTTTCGTGAAAATTGAGAGTGGAAGTGCCCTATCTTCGCTTCAATAGCCATCATTGGGTTTGCAACATTCTCTAGCTCGTGGCTTCAACCCTCTCAAAATATTAGTAAGTTTGTTCACACCTTGCTGTGCACCCAGGCCCAGCCCTAGGCACCACCCGCAGTGATGCGCACGATAAGAATCAGAATGTGATCCATTTGCGTCATTCCAACTATGACTCCAATCACGAACACGGTCCAATGGTTTCAGGTCATATAGCTCTTCTTTGGGGTGCATGCAAGGTGGTGCCCGGTGCCCTCCCCCCGTTAAAGCTGGTTTGTTATAAACCATGCGTGAAAGCCAGCTTGAAAGTTCCCCTCTAGATACACAACCAACTAGCCAAACCACATGGCTAAGCACACGGTCGCTCAGCAGAATTGAGCATGCCTCATGGCCTTCGGTGCGAAGGTCTAGCGCTGACTGACTTGGAATGAAACGGTAAAGAGGGGCATGATCCAATGGCTGGTACGTCAATCGCACCAGTCCAAAATTCTTGTTGGATCATGGCCAAACGGAATCAGAGCCTGCAGCTCTTACATTTGCTTTGACAGCAGCTTTGCCCATCTGTCGTGCATTCTTCTAGCTCCGCATGAAGGTTGGGTCAAACTTTAGCTTCCGGATGTTTTTCTTGAACAACTGAATCAAACCTTCACGAGCAACTCTGGCTTTCTTGGTCAAAGCGTCAGACAAGTTGCAGCCACCAGAGATCCAAATCAATCTACAAAAGGATTCTTCCAGCTGTTCACGAAGCTGGTTATAAACCTGCAATGCGTTGTTGGCAGTGCTCAAACCGATCATCGGCATCTCACTCTTCGTGACGGCATCATATCCTCCTTCGCTGTCAGTCACGATGACGCACTTGCTTGGAAATCCGGAAGAAGATTGACAAGGCATATAAGCTTGAGTGGCTCGTTGAGCCTGAGACCATGAACGTTTCGAAGCGCCGGCCGACATGGCCTCATTCTCATCAGCTGGTTGTTTGGCAGCAGGTAGAGCACCGCCGTAGTCCTCCATGTTCTCTTCCTCCTCATGGACATCATCCACCATGAAGACCAGGAATCATCCTCATCATCCCAAGCCTCGTTCTCCGCCATGTTGAAATAGTGAGTGGAAGATTGTTGTCCATGAGCTCCTTCAAAACCATGTTGACCTCGACCTCGATTGAGTGCTCGTCAAAAAAGGATCTCCAAGGAAGTCATCACGGAGACATAGTCCAGTCGATTGCCAGTCGAGGCCAAAATCGATCGCCACTCTTCAGGTGAAAGGGCAGCAGCCATTAGAAGTCCCCATCCACGAAGTTCTTCAAGGTGAGAGAATCCATGCTCGAGGTAGGCAATGAAGACGATGTAGGTCGACCACCACCACCAGCCACAGGAACAGGTGGGGGACCATCTGGATCTTCGGCAGGAACGGCTTGTAGTCCGACTTCTTCTTGGTTGTACGACTCTGAGTATCGCCGTCATCATCGTCCTCATTCTCATCCTCCTCCAAATGAGGAATGAAAATTTCATCTATAGTACCATCCTTCTCTTGTTTCAGCAGGCGAAGCGCCTCCACAAACTCGAAGTGAAGACTCTCCGTTACCAAGAACTGAGGTATAGTTTCCATGGGATCACGGTGAAATCCAAAATACTGTTGCGTCACAGCTGCGGTGTTGGGCAGCTTGCGTCTCACCAGCTGTGATTTGCTCAGCTTTTTTTCAGGTACTGGT